TATCCGTGATTTCATGGATTGGAAATTCTGTGATTACTGTGGTCGTGAATGTAGTGTTTGCAGTTTGCAGAATCAGAACCTCTTCAAGCAAAAGGGCCAGTCAAGAAACTTTGTTCAAGTCCCTGGACTATCCCTGAGCTTTGTCAAAGGGTAGCAGAGTGTGTGTGTGTGTGAGGATCCGTGTTCTGTGTCCCTACGACCTTTCGAATTTCTTGCAACTCCAAGGGCAAACTGATTCTGAGCAAGAACCGGAAGTTTCCGAAATCCGGCAACAAGTGAAGCCAACTAGTAGAGTTACGCCAGGCCATGCGTGGCCTCGTTCGCCATCGGCGCCCGCCATCTGGGCAGAAACGGTCTTGCTTTCGCACCCTAACTCATATTTCATGCAAGCTCTGTCTGTCTGTGTCTGTCTCTCTGTCTATCCGTCTCTCGGTCTCTCAGTCTCTCCGTCTCTCCGTCTGTCGGTCTGTCTGTCTGTCTGTCTCTGTCTGTCTGTCTGTCTGTCTGTCTGTCTGTATTACGGCCAGACAGCCAGGCAGGCAGGCAGGCAAACAGACCAGCATTTATACACCCGAAACCCGAACCCGTTCCCCTACTATTCCCTAAAACCGGAAACCCTGAAGAATTGTCTACCTGTCAACCTTTATACCAGACATCCCAAGGCCAGACATGGGATTGCCCTGTGTGTTGGGGAGGCCCAAATCCTGTGAAGACCTGCTGCAGGTGCTGATGTGAGGCACGTGAAAGTTCGATTTTGGAGCTTCTTTGCTGCCCAACGCCGAAGTCCTAAATCCCGACAATCACTATGCCTCTGGTAACAGTAAGAGCCGGTGAGCTGTCGCTGTCAGGTCAAATGCTGCAACAACCCAACTCATACTGCAGACCACTGCCCTCTCTGAAACAGTGTAACTATATAGCGCATGCGCCCTTGGGATTAGAACAGGGTATTGGGGTATATTGTATCACAGCAAAACTAAGGAACCGGCAGATCTCACTATTCGTGCTTCTACATTACAGGCCTCTGCGCTAATTTGGAAAGCCCAAACTCGAACTAACCCTCAGTCAGCTCATTCATAGCCTCGGGGCCCCAACCTCAAACCCTAAAAGCTTTGTGCTATGCTTTTACCCTAAACTCTGAACCTTAAACTTAAAAACCCTCTAAGACCCCTAATCCCCCTACCCTAAACCTTAAATTAAATCCCAAAGCAGTATCCTCAACCCCAAACCCTCAGCCCAAGGACAGTCTCCGTGACTACTTTAAGGATCATGGGACTTAGTAACTAGGGCTATAATTAGGGTAACTATACTTATAACCCCAATTAGGGTACTTATAACCTTACTTACTAAGTCCCATGATCCTCCAAGTAGTACCCTAAACCCTAAACCCCCAGATCCCTTTTAAGGAACCCCTCTAGATCCCTTTAAGGAGCCCTTTTAAGGAACCTTACTAAGTCCCATGATCCTAAGTAGGACCTGCCTCCGGCCCTGGGGGCCCCCGTGGCCCGACCCGGCTAAAGAACAAAGGCCGAAATTCTGCGAAAGCCGGGATTTTGGTGGTTCGAGCTTTTGGGGGCTTCAGGGTTCCCAGAAGGGTTCGAACGATAGGAAGTCTGAGTTTTTGCAGATTTTGTGGCATAAGCGTTTCGAGTTCTCAAGGTCTTTTGTGAGTTTCAATCCAGCAGATAGGCTTTGGGATTGGGAGTATACGAAGAACTTGTGGGACAGCCGAGCACCTGTCTGAGCTGGACCTGTTGAGCGGGGTAATTGCTTACTATGGGTAGTCAGTGACGTGCCAGCAGATGCTTGCAATTACCAAACGAAATACGGCGGAGGAAATACCACACGAATCAACTACTGTGTTACTGCCCTTCATGGTTCAGGAGATCCCGATTGATGATCCCATACGGTTCACGGTTCTTCTCAAGGCAACTGAGTATCGCCCTGCGTGTGAGCACCCTGAAAACTAAGTCGTAACCGTTCTAGCGGTTCAGGGCTGCTGCTGCTGTGCTCGGAGTTTGTTTAGGCTTCGGGTTTGAGAGTTTCGCCGGACTCCCGAGTTCTGATGTCTGGTGCGAGCGAGAGCGATGAACAACCACGCCGCCATCAATATCCTCAATGAAAAATACCGGCGGAAGCTGCCAACGGGCAAAACCGTCATGATCGACATAGCCGCCGGCACCACCTACAAGAACGGAAGAGGTACTAGCAGCAACTGCCTTACATCCGACTGGCATCTCTTTTGTCCTCCTCACATTGGCGGGTGGAATCTTGTGAAAAGATGAAAACACCCATCGCAGGACTCAGGGCTGAGTTTGACTTGACCATCGACTGCTTCGGGCTTGAAGTGCCTAACCAGTGTATTTAACCCAAATCTATTCATAAGCCATCGCTTGTATTAGACTTATACCCTAGAGTCCTAGAGTACCGTACAGCCACTGCATCTTGTGTGAGATATGGCATTTGGAACTTGTTGGCAGTTTCGCGGCCACAACGTACCTGTGCAGACTCATTAACTCGGGCTTTGCAAGGTCAGGGAGGAATGTGATTACGAGTTATTCAGAACTCTATAGTGCCCAACAACAGCATAAGCCACCGAGCATGGCAGTCCAAAAACCTCGACACTATGAACTATGCCTTATAACCCCAAACCCTAAGCCATAAAATACAAGCCTAAACTGCTTCGCTTCTGGGAGTGCCGGCCCGAAATCCTGCTGCGGTGGAGCCCGGCTACTACCGCGAACCCTACTACTGGAAGCAGGATGGCCAAGCCAATTTCACGGTAAGGGTCCAGGATTTGGGGTGTCGGGCTATCGTCGGGAACTCAACACACTCTTGAGACTGGGCTTTAGGCTTAAGCCTTCGGATTTTTTGCAGTTATGGTCTCCACACAGGTCATGTCAAAAATTGGCTCCAGCTGCTTGCAGTTTCTCGCGATTCAAAAAAGATCTAAGAGGCATCGCCTAAGCATTATCGTCGCCATCCTAACCGGTCAGTTTCCAGTCAGCACCTGGGCATGGCACCTCAGCGTGCTGATAAGGGCCCGAGGGTTTAGGGAATAGGCTTTAGGAACTTAGGGCTTAAGGGTTAGGGTTTAGGGCTTAAGCTCTATAAGGTTTAATTAAGGTCACGATCTGCACGAGGGAATCTTGGCTGTATCGATCTGGCTTTAGACTCCAAGCCAAAGTTTTTCAGTCTCTTGAAACTTTCAGAGGTACAGTAGGTGGCTGTATACCGCGTAGTCTATTTTGTGGTCCTCGTAGTAGGGACCCTAGCTGCTCCAGCCCGAGGGTACCTTAGATAAACGCGAACCTTTAAGCCCTAAACCCTTAAACCCAAAACCCATCAAAACCCTAAACTGTAAACCCCTAAACCCCGAACCCCTAAACCTTAAGATGGATCCTCGACAGGACTTGGGGGGACTTCTGGTCCATTGCTTTATTGAAGGCTTCGCGGCTCTCCGGCAAGGGACCCTTCGAAACCTCATTCCTCAACTCCTTCAGGACTGGGTGTAGGGTTAAGTTACAGGTTCATGGTTTAGGGCTTGGGGTGCTTTTTTGAGCTCCTTTTTGGTGCCTCGAATTCCGGGCTTCGGGTGTTTAGGGTCTCGGGTTCAGGGTTGAGACCCCTTGAACCCCAAAAGTACACGATAGCTATATAGGCACTTAGACTTGAAACTCTAATAGAGTACCCTAGGGTAGTACGGACCCTTAGCTTAGTGCCCGTACTAATGAGGCCTGTTTCCCCTACCCCCTTAAGGGTCCCTATGACCTACCTAGACCTACCAAACCCTACTTTTCGTAGGTCCTTATTATAATCCCTACTCTGGGATTTTTAGGGACCCTACAAAAAAGTAGGTTCTGGTAGGTTAAGGTAGGGTAGTACTTATAGTCTCCATTGTAGTTCTCTTTTTGGTTAACCAAAAACTCTATCATAGGATCCTAACCATAATATTTGTTAACCAAAAAGAGGACCTACAATGGAGACTATAGGTAGGGTATGTGGGCTCCCCTGGTTCGGCTCGCAAACGCCAAGAGCTGAGCCGATGTACCCAGGAGGCCCGGGGGGGGCGCCGGCGCATTAACCACAAGAAGGTCACCTCATAAGGCTTGCGGGTTTAGGGCTTAGGGTCAGAAACTTAGGGTTTCGGGTTTAGGGGTTCAGACGGTTTCGGGCTTTCGGGGTTGAGGGCTTAATCATGGGTTTAAGGTTTCGGGTTAGTTAGGGCGCATCTGTTTTGGCTTTCATTGATAAGCGAAGTGGTTGCCACAAGAGGACCACTTGCAGGGAGCAGCTCTCGAAAATGTGTGCAGTCTAAGTCGTCTGCCTTTGTAAGCTAGCTTGCCACATGTCAAACCTACATGCCAAGAACGCCCACAGGCACCCGTAACAGGTCTTCAAAAACATTATCATTAAAACCGCAACCTCCAACACAAGCTATACTTTAAAGGTATGAGAATAAGAATGATGATGCTCCAGGCTTGCTGGAAGATACGGCACGAGGTTATGACACGGCATGACCCCCCTACACCCTAGACTGACCCTAGGCCCAAAACAACTCCATGCCAACAAGGGGATGTTCTACCCCCGATGGGCTATCCGGATTCCTTGAAACCCTAAACCCTAAACCGGACGGTATAAGTTTACGACAGACCAGAGCTGACTTAAAGGTTCATGGGTAGTTTCAAGTCGGGTGAATAAGTAGGGTAACTTTGACAGATTATAAGACAATAAGAGGGGACCTATAACCCTACTTGTAATTACCCATGAACCCTAATCATAACTACCCATGAACCTCCAGGTAGCTGCCTGTAGACAGATGGTGATCCCTGAAACTCGGAATCTAAAAACCACCACGACTCAGAGACAACAGCCGAAGACACAAAAAGACTGCTAAACTCCGAATCCCTGAAATCTAAACCCTAAACGAAACATGATCCCCACATTGCAAGCCCCCACCCCCAACCACATGGCCAGCGTGCCTTCGGTGATGCCACGCCATTTCACCCGCCTTTGAAGAACAATCCGGGTGTTCTGCTTAAGGGTTTAGAGGGCCCCTAAATCGGAAATCCTTCACCTCTTAACGTCGCCCGACCGCTAAACCCATACAGTACGAACCAAATCCTGAAGCACCTCGCCTCAGAGCTATTGAACCATGCATCCTTTTGGTCAGGGCTAGCGTTTCAGCTGGAGTTGAGCCTGCCGTTGGGATGTTGTGCTCTGGACTCTGAACTGGGGCGTTTGGGGTTGTCCGTCCCAGTTCCTGCACTTCAAACACACCCTAAGCCCTGAAGCCTAAAGACTCAGCCCATTAACTCTAAACCCTGATTTTCAACCAGTCAAGAGCAGGAAACATCCTGAAAGCCGAAATGCAGAATGAAGCGAAACTGGAACCCACTCAAGGCCCGAAGCCCTCAGAAAGCTTTTGAAACATAGATCGCGGCCTTATTCCTCTCCTCCTGGGACCCAACACTTGACACCTCCTGATCTTCTGATGTAAGCTTTAGGGTCTGGGTGCCCTTAAGCCTTAATTGTTCGGAGTTCTTGTTGAGGAACTTTATTTGAGAATGAAGCCCTATGGTTAACCATAAACCCCTAAAGTGATAGTCTGAAAAATTGAATAAACTCAAGTTCCTAAACAAGAACCCAAGATAAACCTCTCGCACTTGCACTGAGCCAGAGGACCCACTGCAATAAAGGCCCGAAGCGATCGAAGGTTCATGGAACCTAATCCTGAATCCTTCGTGATTTGGGAGGGGTCAAATTAAGTCACAAGAATCGAAGATTACGGTTGGCACAAGTAGAAAAGCAAGACCGAACACGCCAGATAACACGACGTGCTCTGGCCCATGCCCATGCCTCTTCCCCAAAGGGTCCAAAGTACCGATATAGTAGAATGTAGGGTTTCTATATTGGGAATTACTATTATGATTTGGGGAAGAATTCCCCATAACAGTACATAGGACCCTTTGGGTTCGTGCCTGCTATCTTGACCGAGGCTACTCTGTAGTGCTGGTCCTTCCAAAGCCGGAATGTGTCCGTGAGGACATAAACACCTTTTCACGGAACAGCCCCATCTGATTACTTTAATATTATATACTATTACTATTAGTATTGCTATTAACCCTATGCCTCCAGGGACCTTATCAAGGGGTCTAGAGCCCTGACTATGAGGTCCTTGGAGGGATAGGGTTAATTATAACTATTACTAGTATTAGTACTCGTATTATTTAAGGTGGCCCCAAAGTTGCATCTTGCCATACTTGTGTGCCAGCTCCATCTCCTGAAACTCAAGCAGGGCCCCGAAATTGTCAGCACTTGATGTCGTTCTTTGTGGCAAGACCTTGGATTCGTAGGCGCACTTCGTGGTCTGCCCAACAGTGCCAGATGCTGCATCCAGCTTTTAACACCTATACTTTCATTATCAAAAGCCGCCGGAAATCTCGCCAGAACAGTTGCTCATGCTTATCCTAAACGAGCTGTGCTTCCATACCGTGTATACATAAACACATACATATGCGCTTGTATATGCCATCTGTGTATTCTGTATGTGTGCAAAAGGCAGGAACAGTCTTCAATCCCCGGCTTACAAGTAGCTCAGACTGCTGGTTCATATTCTTTTCATTTGTGTGACTTTGGCTGGCTTCCCGAGCCACACCCTAAACCCTAGAACTCTAAACTCTAAACACACAGACACTAAACCAGAAAACATCCTAAACCCCTTCAGGGTCAAGTTTTTCTGGTTTCGATGGGTTTCGGTTCTGGGTTTAGGGATTCTAAAAGGGGAAAACGAGGGACACTTAATAGGGACCCCTACCCAATAATGGGCTATATAATGGGTATATAATGGCTATGTTATTCAGGCTATGGTGTGAGGTTGCGGCTGGGAAAAAGAGATCGGAGTAGCGCCTGTTTCGCGAGACCCAGATTGGCGTGACCTTCTTGAACTTCTGGGTGAGGGTATCGGCGAGGTTGACGAAGGCCTGGGCCACAGGATTTTTCTGATGGCCGAATACACCCAGATACTCAAACAGATGATATGTAGATGTATGTATGTATATGTATATATGTATACACTAGAGATCCAGAAGACGTGCTACGACGATCATGACTCGACCAACATCCTATAACAACTAGGAAGGCTAGTCCTACCCCTGACAAGCAACAGCCCAGTTTGTACCAGGATTGTCCTGTCCGCACACTCTCGGAGGCAAGTGTGTGTGGGCACTGTATTGGCTTGGGAAACTGGAGGATAGGTTCAGGGTTCAGGGGTTTAGCAACAACCGAACCTGCCAAAGATAGAACATGAACAAGCGGAGTCAGGCCCTTAGTTGACGTCTTCACAAATACACACTGGATCCAATGCCGGTACAGGGAACACGGCTGTAGTTATTCCTAAACTCAGAACCCCAAACCCTAAACCCTATACTCCACATCCTATAGGCCCGAAAGTAGCAGCTTAGGTTGAATTCCATGTAACGACCTTGCCCCTTCGGAGATGTATGTGACTGGCAGTTGCCAGAAATGCGGAACTTCTGACAACCGCGGTTTAGGGTTTAGAGATTAAACTCAGGGTTTAAGGAACCATCTAACAAATAAAGGCATGGCAACTCAATAGCCACTGCCATGATTAATCATCACCTTCATCGTTGGCATCGTCGGCATTGCCCATCATTCGTGATTAACGTCATTACCATTCGTGATTAACATCATCACCATGATGTTCATCATCCTCTTCCATGCCCTCTGCCTCCCCCTTGGATGATCATGCTTTGGCGTCCCAACTTCGACAAATACAGTTTCTGCTGTTGCGCTACGATTTTTTTGCCCACTTTAGGCAGGTTTGAATGGGGGAAAAGGAGTTTGACGGGCCGACTCTGAAGCCTGTGTATAACGTAGGGGCCTTAATAGTTGGAACTTAGAGCAGTGTTTTTGGGGCATATTATGCTGTACTTATCATAAGAAAACCCCAAAATAGTATAGGTAATTATTACGGCTCCTATATCAATGTCCTGTATTCCACACCCCGCCAACTCGACATCCTAGAATTCGCCAAGTAGTTCGGAACGCCCTGATGAAGCAGAACACTGCGCGGGAATAACCGGATGCCAAGAAGTCACGAAGGATCCTAGAAGTTGGGTACTACCCCCCCATAATGACAGTACCAGTCTATGAAAGGGCTAGTATTAAGGCCTTATATAAGTATAATCCAACTATTATTCAAGTGTTACTGAGGGCAGTACCCAACCTGCAAGTGACCGAGGCAATGCTTCTTGCGTTGTCGCATAGAACTTCACTGCAGGAAGCTGCTGCTGGAGATTGGAGCCACTGCCAGCCCATGGAGCCTACACACCAATTAACCTAGGGATCCAAGGACTCATATACTAAGGCTTTTGGGCCCGAAGACCATACCATGTAAGGCTTTTGGGCTATTTTGATCCGTAGGGTAAGTTACTTGAAGCCCTGAGGCCCAGGAATCCTACGCCCGGAAACCTAAGCCGAAGGACGAGGTCCTTGAAGAAAAGCCTTCTCTGACTCTTCAACTACCCAAGCCGCAAGAAACGATAATCAGTATGGGTGGTTGTCAAAATTATGCTTCCCTATTATAATACGGCACCTCTTATTTAGGGTACCTAAAAATAAGGGACCCCTATTTTGTTTGACAGCTACCTAAATGAAAACACAGCGAAAACCTCTATGAGACCCTGCCATGCAAGTCGCCTTGGATCTCCCGGCTGCAATTTGGACGGGATACCTCGGAGCAAGGCTGGAATTATAGGGCTGAAAATCGGGGTTTATGAGCTTTGGGGTTCGGGTTTGGGGGATTATACTATTGACTACTGCTACCACTGCTACTACGGATGGGGTCAGGCACGTAGAGCACGACTTCAAGACCCTGAATTCCTCAACTCATAAAACCATATATGCAATGCAGCAAGATAGACAAGTGGCCACAGACAGAAACCCAACTTTGGCCCTGTGCAAATTCACGGAAACTTCAGCATAAACTAAGTTCGCATAACACCTGAACCATAAACATGCCCCACAACCCGTGAGCCGTGAGCTCTGTGACGCTTTCCGAGCTTGAAGCACTGAACCCCAAATCCTGTGGAGACACCACGAGTGAGAACACTAGGAGACTGCTTATTCCAAACAGTTCAGAACAATGCAACCGAACCGCGTTGATCCTGCACCCTCAACCCTGCACCGCAAACCGGAAAAAAAAAAAAAAAAAAACTAGTCCCAACAATAAATTCAATGCCCTTCCTCCCTAAACCCTCATTCCCAAATCCCTCAACACGAAACCCTGAACTTTAAACGTTAAACCCTTCACTAATTCCCCAAACACCTGAATACTAATCCCTAAACCCTAAACTCCTAAACTATTAAACCCTAAGTTCCTGAGCTCCCCACTCCGAATTTTACGGACGGCGGGCAAGGAAACGGATCCGGGCTCTGGTGAGCCCGGAACAGCCACCTGAAGAAGGAGGGCTTGCCGGGGCCAGCGGGTTAGGGCTTTGGGGTGTAGGGCTTGTAGGAGTTTAAGGATTACCCCAAACTCTAAACCCTGGGCCCTGTGGAATTTAGGATTTAGTGTGAAGGGGTTTAGGGGTCTTTTGGGCCCGAAATCCTGAAAATACCTAAATCCCCAAAGTGGCCCTTCGGCTTGAGGTTTGGGCTGAGCTTCCCTAAACCCTAAACCCCTAACCCGAAACCCTAAACCCTAAATCACGAGTCCCAGAATCTCTAAGGCAAGCTGGATACTACGCATGTGGGTGGTTGTCAAAATTGTGGTCCCTTTTTCGGGTCCCTATTATAGTAGTAATATTTAGGGTATCAAAAAAGGGACCATGATTTTGACAACCACCCATGTAGGAGTCAGCAACATGGTTTACGGATTAGGGGTCTAGGGTCTCGAGCATCTAATCATAAACCTTCTCCTGTTGATATCGCTGCAAGTGGATAGGCTTCCACACTATAGGGGCCTACTTAGATAATTTCCAATCTTGTTCTTGGGGTTCCTCATAATGGTGTAGTATAATATAATATGCCCCTTAACCCTATTCCGATTACTAAGGCCCCTATATTACTCGATGCTCGTGGGCAGTGTGGAACCCGTCTGAGGCCAGCACCGTCGCTCGTTTATCCCTCGGGCTGGTTGGACCCCTGGCACCTGGGCTCGAGGAAGCTGTATCTAGGGCTAAGGGTTCAAGAGGAAGCCGGTATTCCGGGCTTTGCAAGTACAGCTATTAGGGTATGTGGGGTTATATAGCGCCTTTTGAATTGGTTTGAGTTTGGGGTTTAAGCTTTAGGGTGAAGGGGGTGTCATTCGAGCAGCTTCTGGGGGAATCCCAGTCGGACACATAGCACGTGCTTGGAATTCAGGTGCGACATACATAGTACATGAGCCTGCGACTTCAGAAACAATCGCACAGAATAGAACTCTTCATTGTTCGACATCAACCAAGAAGAAGCACTGAAGCTGCAACTGTAATTCTGGCTCGCGGTTTTGGGCTCAGGGCAAATGCAGGGTCACCCCAACGACGCATGCATTGATAACTCGTGGTGTTTTTGACGTTTGTGCTTTTGTTCGCAAAGTTTGTGGTTTTGAAGATCTTAGGCTCAGAAATTTGCGGCCCTGAGGGACTAGATCCCCGAATCCTAATGCAAGATCTCGGAATCCCCACCCCGACCGAAAAGTTAAACATAAATAACTGCGACAACTACGTAGTCACGGCGATGATTGTCATTATTTTGGTGATGCCCCATAAAAGTGTATACAAGTATCGTCTGCTTCATAACAGCAAGGCGATAGTCGGCGTGACATTTGCTCAGAAAGCACCAAGATTCACTACCTCAAACAAAATAATGAATAAACACTCGTGACTGTGACGGCGAATGGCGAATCAAACAAAGCCAACAACATGGATCGCACAGGGGCCTAAACAGCTTAATTTGACTCAGGCAAACGGATCTTCCCACCACTAATTACTTCTCAATCTTGAGGCCCACAAACTTCGTCAGACTTAGCATGCTTAGGCCCACACTCGCTGGACCTGCGAAGTCCTGGGTCGAGGTGGGATCTCGTGTAGTTGTTCTTTTCATCATCCTATCGGTACTAAAACATTATGCTTCCAAGGACCTTATAGTTTGGGCCCCAGACGAGTTATGGACCGAATAACAACGTCCCTGGAAGCAGAGGGGAATATATACTTTCAAATCATAATCCTGTAGGTATTAACTATCACATACTCAGAGGATCATTGGGCTAAGCAACTAATTAAGAGCCATCATCAAGGCGCATAGCACCCCTGGGCTTGGGGTGTTGGGGTTGTTAAGGTTTGGGTCTTTGGTTGTTTTCTGTTGGGCCATTCGAAAAAGCAGCAGAGACTGTTTACACCCTGAACCACACCCTAAACCCCAAACCCCTACACCCTACTTGAACCCTAAGGAACCTACCTTTTTAAGGACTTACATAAAGAAATCATACTGGGGGGCCCTCTAGGTAGGTTCCTTAAGGTCCAGGTAAGTCGAAATCCAGGCGTATTCGAAGCCTAACCCAAACAGCCACTGAAGACCCCAGGCCGGGCCATATGGGGGTTTCCGAATATGAGGGTATGAGGAGTACCTTATTCTGGGGTCCTTAAAATAAGGATCCTACTATTTTGGGGTCCTTAAAATAAGGATCCTACTATTCTGGGTACTACAATTATTAGGTTCCCCGAATTTTCGGAAACTCCCATATTGCTACATAGCATCTGGACAACTCCTATGGGGTCGAAAAGTTCAGGACTTGGGTGGTTGTCAAAATTAGGGTCCCTTTTTGGGGTCCCTCTTATACTACGGCACCTAATATTTAGGGTGCCCAACAAAAGGGACCCGTATTTTGACTTTAGGGGTTTAGGGATGGTCTGCTCTTGGGTTCATGAAGAGCCCCTTTAGTTTAGGGTTTAGGGTTTAGGGTTTAAGGTTTAGGGTTTAGGGTTTAAGGTTTAGGGTTTAGGGTTTAGGGACCTTTCTGACAAGGGCACCCCCTTTTTCTATTATTTGTTAGAAGCTGCCCCGACCCTGTAATAGTGACTATAAGGATTATACTAGGGCCCTATTGTATTCCTATTATACCAGGATATTATACCACTAATACTATACTGTACAGGGTGGGGGCCCCTTCTAAACTATTGGTTTCTGATAAGGGGACCCTAAAACAAAAAAGGGGAAAACGGTACTACTCAAGAACCCTTACAGCACCAGTACTACTCAGGAACCCTTGCAGTACCCTACTAGTAGCCTTATAGAACCCTTAAAAGGACCCTTATAGTATCCTTATTTCGGGGTGTAGGGGTGGTCTGTTAGGAGCCACTGACGAAAGCCTGCCAACTGACGCTCCGAAGGTTCATGCTGGCTTTTCAGAAGATCCCCGACCCTAATGCCCGACGCTTTTAACAAGTGTAAACGTCCTTTAGGCTTTAGGGTTTAGGCTTTAGGGATTTAGGGTCCAGGGGCTTAGAGTTTAGGGACTTAGGGTTTAGGGATTTAGGGTTTAGGGATGTAGGGTTTAGGGTTTAGATTAGGGGTTTAGGACTTGTGCGGTATCCTAGGGGAGCTGAAGGTTAGCCTTTGGGATGGTATAGGGGGCTAGAATGCCTCAACAAAGGTTACAGCTTACATGCTCTGCGATTGAGCAAAAGGCTGGGATCCTTTAGCCCTGATTTCGACAAAGTAGGTAAACCTAACGAAGCTAAACCCTGCTTGAAGGTTCATGGGTAGCTATACGGGGGTTTATCAGTCTCCTAATACGGCCTATAAGTGTAGTTACCCTACTTCTACCCCTATTTATAATTACCCATGAACCTCCAAGTAGAAGCCGAGAGCCCTATAGAACCTCCTCATCATGAAAACCCTTGCTGTGACCGCTGTAAAAACCCATATATACACCCTAAACCGCTGTCGCAATCTTACAGTAAGCTTTAAAACTCTGAAACCTAACAAAACAACATGAATGCTTTGTAACCCTTTAAACCACTATGGCCCCGACCCTTAAAACTCTGAAACCCAACAACAAACATGAATGCTTAGTAACCCTTTTAACCACCATGGCCCCGACCTGTCTGGCTTGATTTTTCCGCAACGTCGGCCTCGCAGAGCCTTCAGAGGGTCGCTCTCTTGCGGTGGGCTTTAGGATTCCTTTGCAAGGGCTGGGTTTAGGGTTTAAGCAGACAAGCTATCCTGCTTTGCCAAAAACCCTCAAGTGCCCTTCGATAGAGCCCTTATGGTCCTGAATAGTGTCTAGGCGGGTTTTGGACTTTAGGAACCCTAAATGACCCTCTAAATCTGTATGTCCCCCTGACTCAGAAGAAGCTTAACCTGTTGAATAATCCTTGCGGTTTATGCTATCCCTGATAGATCCCTTAAAATCCTCATAGAACCCTTATGAGAACTCCTATAGAACAACTCCGATGCTGAGCCCGGCGCGTCTGGGTTGGTTGAGTGCCTTCTCGGACTTCACCTGGTGGGTTTTTGTTAGAACCTTTTCGGTTTCGGTTTGGGGGGTTCCTAATTATAGTTATAGAATAATATACCTCCAAGTCCTATTCTAACTATTTTTCCCTATATTGCATGCCCTGATCCTGGGTTTAGGAGTTAAGAGCTTATGTTCGGGGGAGGGTGGGGGGTTGGAATTTGGGTTTGGGTTGAACGTTCTGGGCAGGGTTTGGGGTTCAGGTAGTTCTGGGTTTTGGGTCGGAGCTGGTCCGCCCGAGTCCAGTAAAGTATCTTTTTCCAGAGACTACATACATACATAACTACCATAAAGGTACGTCGGGTTGATCATGGTTTCAACAAGACGTGTATAGAGATCCTGGGTATGATTATGTACATAAGCTTCGGTCTGTTGATCTTGTAAGGTATTCCGAGCTTAGCCGTCCGGTCAGACCCTTTGGGTTGCATTGCCTGGGAGACCTAATAGGGACCTTTAGGGGGGTAGAGGGGAGTGGGGTAGGGGACTATACTTCCTGAAAAAGGCCCATGAGGTCCTTATTATGGGCATTAAGGCCCCCTACCCCCCTCCCCCTAAGGGTCCCTATGGCTACCCTACTGTGCAATTCACCTTCGTCGGGGCAAGACTGTTCAGTGAGAAACCCCACTTAATCTAAAGTCTTTCACCCCCGGGAATGCCCATCACAGCGCCCGACGCACGAAGTTAATCTCAATAAGCCCACCTTCTACGATGGGTGATGTTCTACAAAAGAAGTCACCCTAACCCCCAGGCCCCTCAACCCTGAGACATTAACAAAGCCCTCAACGCCTCGGCCTTGAAATATTTTGCAAAACTTACAACTCCTAAACCCTCAACTCTAATCCCTTAAGCAACGACATGAGTTCGCCTTGTCCCTCGCTGCTTGACGCAGTCCCTGGCTCGAAGCGACACCCAACAAAGGGATCCACAAGAAGTGGAGGTTTGGGGTTAGGGCGTAGGGCTTAGGATGGAAAAGAAGTGGTCATTCAGATCGGGAGCCCTTGTGCACTGTCTGTGTAGTCCTTTGTGCTTCCACTTCAGGGCTTAGGGCCGAGAGGTCTCGGGTCCACTGCTGCCTGGCCTACATTACCATACACTTCATAGTTCATACCTTGAACCTTGAACTCGAGTAGTCCTCAGCCCTACGGTTTGGGGGTGATCACAGATAGGAACCAAGGTTTCAGCTTTCGGTGTGTTTAGAGTTCAGGGGCTGAGCCTCTGGTCCTTTGATCGGACTTTTGAAGGAGTTGGGTTTCTTGGTTAGTTTAATTGGGATCTCTCGCCTTTGGGGTGTATCGCTTTGGGTGCCGGCTTCGGAGAGAGCTACAACCTACATTACTTACATCCAGCCCTTACGAAACCCCAAGCCCCAACGCCCTAAACTCCAAACCCTCGAAAGCTTTGTGTGGCGATACCCTTGGAGGAGATCAGAGCTTCCAGAACCTGGTTTTCCTTAACCCTGAATACCCTACCTTTTTAGGGCTCCTTATTATGATTTCTTTGTATAAGTCCTTAAAAATAAAGGTTCTTCGGGGTTAAGGTAGGGTCCCTAAGCCTAAACCCTAACCCCTAAACCCTCGACCCTAAGCCCTAAGCCGCCCAGACGAGCCCTAAACCCTAACCCCTAAATCCTAATCCCCAAACCCTCGACCCTAAACCCTGAACCCTCAACCCTAAGCCCTAAAGACATGTCTGAATGCACAACGTGAGAGCCGGGCTACTTTCACTCCGTTCGTCCGAGCTGATGCGAGGTTGACCACAAGAGGTGGAGCTGCAGGATCACGAGACCAACTCGTTTCAGCTCCACCGCCCGATAGTCACGTTTGACGGACGTCACGGGTGGGAGTGGAGGGTCAAAGAGAAGATTCGAGCCACAATTCTACACGATTGTGGCTCACATCCATGTCACTGTGCACCGCAGGTGCTTCCAGACATGTCTGAATGCACAACGTGAGAGCCGGGCTACTTTCACTCCGTTCGTCCGAGCTGATGCGAGGTTGACCACAAGAGGTGGAGCTGCAGGATCACGAGACCACCAGCTGCAGCTCCACAGCCTATTCCCCATCTTGTGGACTGCCAGAGAACTGCCAATGCAAAGAGAGAGCATCAAGCACGCCTTGACCGCAGGCATACTCCAAGTCCTGAGAGACCTTATAGAGGATATGCCACAAAGGAGAAAGATCACTCTTAAGAAACAACCAACCTTCTGCAACAGCCCGCTGGACGTCTCCTCTGGAAAGCTTATCCGAAATGTTGGCCGCGCTGGCGACCCACTCGAAGTGGCCCATCCAACCAAGTCGCGCAGCAACGTGATTGAACCATGCAAGCAGACGATTAATGTGGTCGTCACGACCGTAACCTTTTGACAGGGCTGCTCTGCCTGCCTGATTGTCCACGAATGAAACCCAGAATGATGACATCTGCCTATGATTGGTAAGCAGCCCGACTGCCTGGGCTAAAATCTCCAAGAAATAAATAAAAGCTTTGCGATGACAGTATACCTCGAGAAGGAAGCTAGGGGCCTCGAAATGAGCAGCTGTGATGCTCTGTCCTGTGCGGCAGACGAACCCAAGACCGTTCTTACATCGATGGATACGTTCCATCGGCCACCTTTTGGGGAGCGTCGCTGAAGAAACCAGCCAGCGATTGGAACCCAATTCGAAGAAAGCATCTGCGTACAATGTTGAAACCGTCTGGCCGCCTCGAAGAGGAAGAACTTTGGGTGGTGCCTCGGATAACAGTGACAGCAGACATCGCATGGCCGACCGCAAGCCGCTATTGAGAGAGTCAATCCCATCGCCGGCCGCGTTAGCTCGCGCGTGCACTGGGTGTAACAAAGCCTGGCCAACTCGCCCGAAAAGAGAAGTGCAGAGAAACTGAAGCTTTCCGGCCAATCGCGAAGCCGAGTCAGGGCGCAGACAGTCGCACCTGAGCCCCTCCTGTATCATCTGCTGTAGTTTAACAAGACGAGCCGGATCCGGCTTCACTGAAACAGAATCTTTTGAGATGTCAATGAACACTCCCTGGATCTTCTGCAAGGGGCCAGGTCTCTGTTCTTTCGAAAGCTTCAACCGAAACCCCAACAGCGAACAGAACTCCCTGAAGACGAAGAAACTAGAATCAGCAGTCTCGGCCGGGTCCACACTGCCCAGGTCGTCCACGTAATGAATGCACGCTATCAAGAATAGCGTCCTGGCCAGCCAGAGGAGAGCGTCTGTGCACTTGTTAAAGTGAAAAACGGACGCTGTGGCCCCGAAAGGCATGACACAATGCCGCCAGAGGGTTGGCCCTTCCGGGGTCGCCACCAGCACGAAACAGTCATCTGGATTGGCCACTGGGTATTGTCTGTAAGCAGCCTCTAAATCCTGGGCCCAAATGACAGGATCGAAACCTGCCTGTGCAAGAAAACGCACCATAGAAACATACAGGCTCACATCATCGTGGGGTGGGACATCGCTAGCATGAACCGTCGAGTTATGAAAGGATCGACGATAATCCTCGCATCGACGCACTTTGCGACGACCATCCGATCCAGTTTGTACTACAGAGAATGCCCATGCCACTGATGGGTCCTCCGTTGGGCATGGGAGAAGAGAATCGAAGCCCGTAACGCCGGAGCAAGCTGTAGTACTGACATTCCAAGACTTCGGTGCACTGAAAGGGCCCTGCATGCGACCTTTCCGAACCTCATCGGAAACCTCCCGCAGCAAAACTTCCCACTCTTCGTCGACTCGACCCTTTTGCAATCGTGACTTGACATGGTCGCGATTCAGCGTCTGGAATGTTGCTTGATCAATCGGATGACTGTATTTCTCATCGCACCTAGGCAGCCAACCAGCGGTTGGTCTAATGTCGCCCAGCATCGGCATACCTTGGCGAAGTTCGCGCTCCAATGCGTCGCAGTCTGGATAGCCACAGCCTCGGAGCAGCTCAACAAATACCGGCACTTGCACGCACGAACCTTCCTCCAGTGTGTACGCGGCTCGAACATGTGGTTGCAACGACTGGAACCATGCTGCTGTTGCGTCTGCTCTCTCTGTGATCAGCTCACGAACCCCTTGTAACACCAAACCTCGAAATTCAGCAATATCCCCAGGGAAGTTGGCGAGACGATGATAAATGATCTCCAAAGCAGGCTGCAACCGCGGCTTCTCCAGAAGCGGATGAACGACAGAAAGACTAGCGATCCAATGTTCCCACTCGTCCCTGAGTGGCGGCAGAACTGAAGGCTGGAGCTCAACGGTGCGACCAACCGGCAAAGGATTCGCGCGTGCCTGTTCTACTGCCGATTGCAAAGCCTCGCTAGCCGAGGGAGTCGACGCTGGTGCACTACCCTGGTCGCTGTACGGTGACAACAAGCAGTGCAACAAAAACATGGTACAGCCAATGTGCCATGAATTGCCTAGCAGTCTATGCCGGACCTTGGGTGGAACTCCAGGGTCCCGAGTCACGCCCGGTGGGAAATGATGTAATTGCTCTTTAACTTCCGCTGGAAGTAGGCTGAGCTGGTTGCTTGGATCGGCAACCATTGCGGACTCCTCGAACATCCAAGGGGCATATTGTCTCCGTCCTTCTAGCCACCTTTGTCGAGTGGCTGGGCTGATGCTCCCCCGCATCTGCTTTGGAGGATCGCGCCCGTCCTCCGTGGGGGAAGGCGTGACCATGCATGGCAGCAATTTGCTGCCATCCATAACGCTGGAATGAAACCGAAGTCCTGGCATCTGAATGGCTTCGGGGTTGTCCTTAGGAACCTCGGGTAACAGCTTCCGCAGACCTTGATGCCGAGTCCACTTGAGAACCTCTCCGGTCACGGGGTTGAGCTTAAAGCACGACCAATCATGACGTGTCCACCAAACCCTAGGTCGACTGATGATCCCCCAGGAGGCTGCGTCCAGGACCAGAGTCGAAGCTCGCAGTTGCTTGGAAAAGAAATCGGCATCCTGAGATGGCTGCATTATCACATTTTCCACCAAAAGAACGAAATCATATCCCGGCATCAAGGACTCAATCTCGCCCAATTTGTTGCAGAAGACTTCGAAAAGCCGACCCGTGGGTCCGCGCCGGCCTTGTCCCTCGGCTTTGATCCGAGAATAATCGGGACAAGGAGGCCCAGCACAGATAAGGATAATCGCCTGCTTGTCAGGATCCATCTGCTGAAGCATGTGTGCAACCTGCTGTGCGTTCTCCGCCTCGATGTCCCCGCGATCGAACCTGAGACCGCGGAAAATCCGCTTGCTGACCTTGATGGCCCATTCATCCGTCTCCCAAACGAAAAGAGCTCGTAGGCGGACGCCCAATCGGGCCAAAGAAAAAGCAGCAGATCCCATACCGTCGAAAAATGAAAGCAGAATCACATCCCGAGACAGATGAAGCCCCGGTAGCTGCAGCTGCAAAGACGGTGCCGGCAACGGATCACGAGGGGTTGGCGCCCTCGGGTGTGCCGACGTGGACGGCACGATGTTGCCGTCAGGTATTGGTGAGATTGCCGATGACTCCTGAGGCCGGTTACCTCCTCCCTCGGCAGGAGGAGGAGGCCCGAGCTGTCCCTAGGCAGCCGCCTCAGCGCCTGATCGGCGCCACGATGGATTCGGGTGCCACGTCGGGCGCCATGTCTTGCCCTTGCCGTCAGCCTGCTTGCCACCGTAGCCCTTATCGCTGTAACCCTTGTCGGTGAAACCCTTCTCGCCGTAGCCCTTGTCAGCGAAAGCTTTGCCGCCCTTCTCAAAGAAGCCCTTGCCCTCGCCCTTGCGCGGGATCTTTGCCGGCGAACCCTGACCATCAGTGTGTGGCCGGCGTCGATTGCCCCCCTCGGCAGCCGTGGGCTCTCGCATCATGTGTTCCTGAAAAGAAGCCAAATCAGCCATGACCAACTCGGAAGCCTCAGTAAATGTCTTCTTGGCACGCAAGTAGCCGCAGAGCTTCCAAGATGCAGACTCAAAGTATGTGCGGAACTGCTCGATCTTGTTCTGCCGACTCCGGGCCTTCAGGACCATGAACTCAAAGTATCGCCGGATCTGAGTCTCGGGGCCCATCTCCACGAGAATGTAGAGCCACTTGATCGCCCGTAGGCCGTCGAGCACTGAAAGAAGGCCACGAGGCACCCAGTCAGCATCGGGATCTGTCTCCTCGCGTAGCAATCCGTCCTCTACTGAAAGTTTGTGGGAGCGAGGCTTCTTAGCCAATGGATTCACCTCCCGATTGGCCTGGAAGGATCTGCGTGAAAGCAGCTCACCGAGCGCTACGGGTTGGTAATGTTTGCTCACTTTGTGCTCGTGTAAAACACGAGCCACTACGGCTTCGGCCCCTAATAATTCGTGCTCCGGAAAGGAGCGCCTTTCTCCTGCCAGAGTCACGCTGTTGAACCTTTCCACCATCTCGGACCATGCACCTGCAGGAAGAACCTTGGGAACCTTCGCTTCCGAAGCGGTGGGCGAAGCGGTCGAAGCAGAGCCTGGGGTAGCAGTCGGGGCCGCGAGAGCCGACACGGCCCCAACTTGACGGCTCCTGGACTCCCTGGCCAAATCCCACATGTAGGCCAGAATTGCAGAAGCAATGGGCTTCTCGCAATCCTCGAGTTCGATGCGATCTGATGTCGCCGATTTCTGCCATCCTCGCAGCAGCGGCTGGCAGACCACATCATTGAAGGTGGCACGATCACTGGCCACGAGAGCCAAAGCCCCGGCTGACTTCAGCCCTCTCTCATCAAGATATCGAAGCAGATCCGCTCCTGCCCCTGCCTTGAGAGCGATGTCATCGAGACTAGGCTCTGTTGGATTGGATGGTCCGGCCGGGGCCCCCCCGAGCGAAGCCATCGAGAACTGCAGACCGATCTACCGAAAACACTTATAGTGCATGGTTGCAACTCTCCTGCATGTGCCGCGAACATGTGACTCCATGAAATGAACCCTGCCACTTGAGTCGGTCTCCAAAGCAACACAAAGCAGGTCTCGCTCGACACCGCTGTTCGGATAATGCTGGCAAGCAGCCACTTCACCACGAGAAGTGTTTTCACACCGCGGCCGTAAAGCAGGGGGCCCGCTGCCCCTGCTGGACGATCTCAGGTCCTGCTTGACTGTACCGACGCGCGCGCCTTATGAGACCACCCTCTTGGCCTTAAAACGCTCACTTAATTAGTCTGCCTTGTGCCTGGGCCCCTATGGTCGCCAGTGCAGACAGCTATAAGCCTGGCCCCGTGGCGAACCTAATCCATGGCATGTACATTGCCATCGGGGGCATAATCGACTTCGGGACTCTCACTCGCTCTCCCAAGAATGCAGCGCCTGGCCGGAGGAATCTCGGCCGCCTCGCAGCGCTCCAGAAGGATCCCGACGATGCGTTTGCGGGAGAGAAAGCCCACTTGCACGTCCTGTCGCGACCGATCGCCCCCCCTTCAAATCAGAGAAATGTTTCAAGCGACTCGCAAGCGAAGAGCCCCAACAGAAACAAACCCCGAAGCACAAAGCAAAACCCTCCGAACTTTTCAATCAGCTGGAACTGCTGCTCGTCTCGGAAATGCTGCTCCGACTGCTTTCCTCCCCTGTGGAGGAACTGTCGGACTCTGCAACACCACTGGGAACTCGGAAGCACTTGAGACACAGATCCGGCGACCCTGCCGGAGCGCTGGTAACACGATCGAAGTATCGCAACCCATATGGCCACCCACATTGTGCTCGCCACTTCCTGGGGGGATTGGCGCTCTCATCCACTGCTATGCGGTGGATCTTTCCCGTCCTCGGTCTTCTAATGTACTGCTGGGGCGGCTGAACCACGGCTGCCTTCAAGCTCTCCACTTCAGCCCTCACCGAGGCTATCTCATTTGATGCCCTAGAAAGTGTATCTGTAATCGCGGCCGGTGCCCTGTGCTGGGCCGCGCTCCGGGCCCGCCGAGGCGATCTCTCCCGATCGCCCTCCGATCTGCTACTGGCTGCCCCTTGTGGAATGTTGACCTGTATCCCGGTCCTGGCATCGACCGCAATGTTGATGTTGGGCTCCTGAACCAGAACTCGTGAGATGGCAGCTGGGACCTGTGCAAGGGGAGCACTTTGTACGTATCGTTGAATGGCATATGAAGTCCAGCGTCCAAGGATTTGTACAAGGCTGAGACTCACTCCCAAGCTGATCAACCATTGCGCTCCTGAAACTCTTGCGCAATGACCTTGGAAACGATCGATCATGCGGCCTGACTCGTCCGGTCGCTGAACCGGAATGCCGGCTCGAGTCAGAGCAGACATAAACCCAGCAATAACTCTCGCCTTGGTGAGCTCCATCCCGTCCTCCGCTGGAACTGCGAAGTGGGCCTTGATCCCACTCTCCTCTTCCCAGAGTCGAACCCGCTCCAGGTGGCGCTCTGCTGCTTCATACGGGCACAATCTGTTCTTCCTAATGCGGCACGCACACCGAAGACTCCGAAGGCAGAGTGTCCCGGAGGAATCCATCTTTGACACTGGCAGAAGCACATGAACGTGGCCATCGGCAAGATACAAGTGCCCGGTGCGCAAAGCACCGAGTTCAATCTCCCTCAACATGTACCAGCTACTCAAAAGCGTGATATCCGCCCAAGCCTCGGGATCGTCGGCACACCATGGTCTTAGAACCGCGCCGTCCTGTGGCAGCGCACCTCGCAAGTCTTCTACCGGAAAAGCATCTTTCAGTCTGTCCGGTCCAAGCCCTCGCCGAACTGACCGAACACAGTCTCGCAAAAGGCCCTTCAGCTCTGGGTCGACGGGTTGCTGAAGCTCTCTCTCCTGATGCTTGCAGGCCACCGAGAAATACTGAGCAGCGCTCCGATAAGATCCTTTCTTCAATGAAGCCGCAACAGCAGAAATGTTCGCGCGAGATAGAGGAAAGGCTGGCAAATCCCAAGCCTGGCACAGCTGTGACCACAGCAATACTCGACTCTCCACTGGAGCCGTCGTTGTCCTAGCCAAAAAGTCGCGACGAAGTTCACTCAGTGCTGCATCCCTAGCCTCGGGACGAGCCGCTGCGAAAGCGGCAGCACGGTCTGCCTTCTTTCGCACTGGCACTGCTGGCAGATCACCCCTGCGCGCTGCTGGGACTAGTTGGGCGGCCGAACCGTCCGCCCCCGATACAGACAACATCTCTATCTGCCATGACGCAACACCGGCTGCACGTAAAAGAGAGGCAGAAGACTGCACTTCTTCCAGGCGTCGCACATGATGCTCTATCAAAATTGGGGCTAGGGACTGAAGCCCCAAGTCTCGCAACCTACTCCAAAGCTCGGCCGTAGCCATCTCGAGCCTACAAACGGTAGTGGCGAGCGCCGCTGAAGCGCGAAAAACCCCTAAGGCTCAACCCTGTCCTGGCCCAGGAATCTCCTCGTTGAATCACAATAGAACTGCAAAGCATACCGTGCTGCGCTGCCCGTCTCGCAGAAAGAAGAGAGTAATGGAATCTGCTCGACAATCATTGCATGCTCGCGGGGACACAATGAAGTCGCGTCGCGAAAGGAGCGAGGGATAGACCTCGGCTGACCTGACAAAATCGGACATCCTTGGTCGCACTTCAATGAGGTAAGCAAATCCACAAGAGCTCCCAAGCTTCGAACTCCTTCGTCGCCCAAGTGGCAAGAGACTTCCAGCAGAGAGTGTCGAACGCCCTCCAGCAGGTAATCATATGCCAAGTGATAATCAGTCCCAGCCGCGACATGTATGGCTTCCAATTCCTTGACAGCCCAAGCCACTTCAGCTGCCGAGCAACGAGCCATGCCGCAAGGGACCGAAATCACTCAAAGAGAAGATTCGAGCCACAATTCTACACGATTGTGGCTCACATCCATGTCACTGTGCACCGCAGGTGCTTCCAGACAAACCCCCAAGCCCGAACGACAGAAGAACGACTGCCTCGATTCGCTCCTTCTGGACCTGCTGGTACTCCTCAAAATGATTAGAATGGTTTAGGGATTACCTTAAACCTACCTTTTTAAGGACTTATGTAAGGAAGTCATAATAGGGCACCCTAAAAAGGTAGGCTCTTCAGGGTGAAGGTAGGGTTTGGGAGCTCATGAGCATAGGAGCTTAGGAGTTTGGGGTTTAGGAGTTTAGTAGTTCTAGGTTCCAGAGTTTCCCCTTTCCAGCAAGGGCAAGGGGGCCCTCAAATCAAAAAGGGCAACAGGGCACTACTCACGAACCTATGCTTCTTGTCAGGCCAGGCTTTTTGCGGGATTTGACCAAGATCAGGCTCGGTTTGGCATACTTGTGCTCTAGGCCCCTGATGCAGAAGCCCTTCTGCGTTTTCATCGGTCAAACGGGCAAGCTAAATGTTCATCATTGCCCACACTTCCAGAAACCGACATAGAACCCCCCCCCCCCCCACATCGCTACTATCAAAGGAACGTGTGGCAAAATCTGTACAGTTGCCGCTGCTATGGCTGGTTGAAGCTTGATTGTCTTATATCAAGGGTAAAAGGAGGGACCCTCAATAAGGACCCCCAGGTATATACCCTTAATATAGCCGCCAAAAACCCATTATTATAGCCCATTATAGGGTAGGGGTTCCTATCAAGGGTCCCTCCTTTTCCCCTTTGATTATAGGCTTCATGGCCTAGTTTCTTGGGGCCTTTGGGCTGCTACTTGTGGTTGGGGTTCTGAAGCCGAAGGCTCTTTGAAGAACCTGCCTATAGTCTCCATTGTAGTTCCTTTTTTTGGTTTAACCAGTTATATATTAAGGATCCTAAAAGGTAACCCCAAAAAGGAACTACAGGTAAGGTTTTATACGTGCCCTATGCCTCCAGGGGACCTTATTATGGGGTCCTTAAGGGGTCTAGGGCCCTAACTATGAGGTCGGTCCTTGGAGGGATAGGGATATACTTGGATACCCAGGAAACGCAGCCAGGTTGTTCGTCCCTTAATTTTGGGTAACTAACAAGTATTATTGTCTACAGTTACCGTTCCTTTACCCTAATTCATTGGTCCCAGACTCATCTAAGTAGGCTGCAAGGTGGCAGAGCCTCACTCCGGCGCAAGTCGAGGCTTTGGCATCTGAGGCTTAAGGTTTAGCTGCCTGGAAACCAAAACCTAACGGAAAGACGAAACCCTGCACCCAGGTAGTCGCAAGACATTCGGATAGATGCTACGCGCTGCGGATGGCAGCGAAAAGCTGTAGCTTTAAACTTTCTTCCCATGACTCATGCTTGGCTCATTTGTAAACCCTCAATCCTGAACAACCTAAACGTCCCGAACCCCTAGACTGTAAACCCTGGACCCTATAAACCCTACATGCAATCACCTGAGGACCTTCTGCTTGCGGCAAGCGGGAGGAACACAACCCCCAGTCATCGGCGAGACTCCATTGGAGTTGCGAGCGTTGGTAGGGTTTGAGGTTCAGGGGTTTAGGGTTTAGGGTTACGGTTTAATTAGGGTTTAGGGTTAAGGTTTAACTAGGGTTTAGGGTTACGGTTTAGGGTTTAGGGTTGGAAGGTTTAGGGCCCTGACTGCATTTCCTGCCGCTTTTTGCGTAAGTTGCCATTCCGGCGCTTTTGCAATGCGCGGGCAGGCTCCTTCTGGATCCTCAAAGTAGTTCCTGTAGTTTATGTACCCAATGAAATATCTAGGATCCAAAATGACTTACGATGGAGACTATTGACAGGACAAATACGGGATTCAGGCTCATGACTTAGGGTTTCCAGCCTTTGGGTTTGAGCTTTATCTGTAGTGAGTCTATCTATGACCCATAACCGTAGGGGTACTTGGAGGTTCATGGGTAATTCTACGTAGGGTTATAAATAAGTAGGGACACTTTACTTATAACATTATAGCCCACATTAGGGAACTTAGAACCCCACTTGCCCTATCCCTCCAAGTACCTCATAGTTAGGGCCCTAGACCCCTTAAGGACCCCATAGTCAGGTCCCTGGAGGCATAGAGTTATGACTACCCATGAACCTCCACGCAGCCCTTAGAATGGCCGGCGCGCACCTCTAGGGTCTTCTTTGCCGCTTCCTCGAGCTCCTGGCAGGCTCGCTGAGCCACTCGGGGGACTTCACCGGGATTCAGAGAGAGACAGAGAGCGAGATAGAGACAGATATATATATATATATATATAGATATATATATAGATATAAAAAATGGAAGAAAGACGGAGAGAAAGAGAGAGACAGAGAAAGAGAGAGAGAGGGAGACAACGACAGAGAGAGAGAGAGACCTATCCATTTATCTATCTGTCTGTGTCTCTCTCTCTCTCTCTCTCTGTCTATCTCTCAGTCTCTCTATCTCCCTCCCTCCCTCTCTCCATGAGTCTATGTAACACGACAAGCTTGCTGTGCACGGTTGTAAGCTCTGCCAACCCAGGATTTTCAATCGCAAAGTCTGTCCGTTCATAGGCTGGAAGACCATGCAGCCATGAAATTCAACCTTTTACAAGCCTCTGCGAAGGCTCTACAAATACATGAGCCTAAAACCCAAAAGCAGGAATAGCGTTCTGGAGAAGAACAAGATCAGGCAAGCGCTCGAAAAATCGGACAAGCGGTCGTAAGGGCCCACGATTCACGATCTCAAGGCCTAAATCCCTAAGCCCGAAATGCTGAACGCGTCAATTGCTAAAGGCCTAGCCAAAATCCTAAACCCTACCTTGAACCCGAAACTTTTCGACAGCCCCTAGGGCACCCGCCTGCTCCGTATTTGACGTGAGTGGGCAGCACTCAGCACATTGCTTGGTGTACTGAACAAAGAGTGAATAGGCTTAGTAGGTGGTCAGACATATCTGTACAGCCCAGTACTGAACCTATGCCTATAACTATATGGCACCGTAGCCGGAGCTCTAAGTTACACCCTCAGCTGTAAACCTTACAACACAGCACACTAAAGCCTAAAACCCTAAATCCCGTAGCCCTAAAACCCCGAAAGCCCTCAATCCCTCAGCCCTAAACCCCTAAACACCTAAACTCCCGACTAAGGGCAAAGAAAGCAGAATGGGGCCGTGCCTGCGTCAAGGCCACAGCATTCGGGCCGGCCTGCAGAGCGTTGGCTTTTGATTGATATGGGTGGTTGCCAAAATCATGGTCCCTTTGCAAGATTAGGTGCTGTACTGTATTCGGGACCCAAAAAGGGACCATAATTTTGACAACCACCAAATATGGGTTTAGGGTTGAATGGTTTAGGGTTCAAGGGGGCTCTTAGAACCCTAAACCCTAAACCCTTTAAAGCTTTAAGGACGACATGAACCCTAAAAGGCTTTGAAGGTTCCAATGCCATTTTGGGGTTTCACGGAAATAGCACCTGGGAATCCAAGAACCTACCATTGAAAGGGTTCTGTCCTCTAATTGGGGGTCATAACCGACTATTATGTACGTAGCGTTTGGGGTCACAGGTTGGGCTCCAAACCAAAGACCATAAACCCTAAGCCGGGCATAAGGCCCCTACTTCTAAGGGTCAATTTGGTCCGAAAAAAGGGCTTTGAGCTTCTCACGGTCCTGTGAATTGTGGATTCTTCTGGGGCTGATTAATCTTTGTACGGTTTTTATGGGTTCCTTTAAGGGCTCTTTAAAAGGGTTCCACAAGGGATCTATAATTATCTTAAGGTTCTAGGATATAGGCACCTTAATTATTAGAATAAGGTTCTCGGATTTCCTTTAAGGACTTTAAGGGATCCTGTCTCAGCCCTGAGGGATAAAGGATGATCCCTTACAGCAGCCCTGAACCCTAAACCCTGAACCCTCAACCCTACCTAAACCCTGAATAACCTGCCTTTTTAATTAGGGTTCCTTATTATGATTTCCTTCTATGAATCCTTAAAAATATGGTATTGTCGGCGTAAGGTAAAGGCTGCAGAAAAGAACCCGAACCCGACCTTCGAAGCGCCGTTCTCCACCTCCGCACCAGCGGCCACGTTCTTCGCCGTCCTGGCAGCGAATTAGGGAGGCGTCCTTTTTAAGGGTTCCTTCATTAAGGGATCCTTTCAGGGTTTAAGGTTTAGGCGGTTTAGGGTTAAAAGTTTCGGGTTCAGGGTTTAGAGTTTAGCGTTGAGGTTTTGAAGTTTATCTACTTTAAGGGCTGAAGGTTGGAATGCTATAGGGGTTAAAAAGATTCAGGTTTCAGGGTTTAGGGGTTCAGAGCGGTTCAGGGTTTAGGGCTTGGGGTTTATAGTGGTTTGGGGTTTAGGGGTTTCAAGGTTAGGGTTAAGGTTTTGGGTTTTGGGGCTTAGGTACGTCTATAGAGGCCTTAGTGTTTTAAAGAGGAGGTTGAAAGAATAGTAGCATCGATTGTTTCATTAGGGTTTGCAGGGCTTGAAAAGATTAGGTTTTAGGACACTCTGTTTGAGATGCTCAAGGCTTTGAGGGCTTAGGATTTAGGAACTTAGGGTCTGCGAAACCTCGTGTTTAGGGTTGATAGGATGCGGGTTTAGGAAACTCTTATTCCGGGTTTGTAGCGCTTCTAGGTTGCGGTATTTTCTTTCTCTAGGGACTTTACAAATGTTGGGATTAGGCTTTGAGGCTGCGGATTTTACAGTACGAGATGATACTACACCATAATAAGGTCTAGTCTAGTGTATGTAGGTCAATTTTGTCTAATGTAGGAACCTGATTAAGAAACCCTGGGCCTATAACCCCAAAGTAGTAAAGCTCATAAGAGGAACCCCAATAAAGAACCAAGGTTGCTTAAGCAGGCTCCTACATTAGCTATTAGAAAGGAACGTTATCAGGAACCGCAACACCCCGAAACACGAAACTCCTACGCCGTAGGCTCAAGCTACAGAAGTGCAAGCGGCCGAACACACGTCACATTTCAGAGATTTGGATCACATCTAGATGAAAAGCCCAAATAAACGACTCATTATTGTGGAAATTGTGACGTCCCCCAGAACCCTACTCTAACTATGATGGCCCCTTTCTTAAAGGCAGTGGAGAATGCGGTGCATTCCGCACTGTCAAGCACAGGACTGGCCGCCCGCCGTGTCAGTTCCGGTCGGGTTTGGGGTTTAGGGGCTTTAGGGCCTTTAGGGTTTTTTGGGTTTGGGGTTTAAGCGGTTTAGGGGTTTACTTACATGGGCTGTGGTTTGGCTAATGACTTAATACCTTTAATGCGATTGGCAACCATATTGTAACAGTGGTGTAACCGTGGACTAAGTGCTGACTAAAGACGTCTGAGAATGGTAATCCACAAAATGAATTGCTACTATTTTTATGATTTTCGGGTCACGTTAATTTCATGTTAATTCTATCATCGTTTTGGCACTGGCGGCATCCAGTTTTTCATGTAGCATAAACCATTGTTTGAATCATCTTTCTTTCCTGGCTTTCTAGATGAGATGCAGTCCTCCGAGGCTTTTGACATGGCAATTCTTCGGAGCTATATACTTGACATGCAGTCCTTCGGGACTTTTGATATGGCAGTCCTTCGGGGCTTATATGTGACATGCACTGGGGGACTGTTGACATGATTGTCCTTAAGTCGGGGCCTTCTTTATCACATGCAGGCCTTCGGGGCTTTTGTCGTAGGCCTGCGCGAGGAAGGCGGATCCTATCTGGTGCGGGTGGGGCGGGTACACAGTGCATCCAGAAACTTTCTTCTTCACGGCTGTGTTCAAGAACACCTTGTGGAGCTGTCCGGCAAGGTAGTACACCTGGTCGTAGCTGGGTGCCACGTTGAACCACTCGGTTTGAAGATGCACGATCACGGCAGTAACCTCCTTCTCCGAGGCTCTGACTCCAGGAAAGCAATCCTAGCCTCCGGGGCAGGGTCCGCGTGGCTTTCTCGCCTAACCGCGCTCCTGAGTGCCCACGCGACCGGCTATACATGGACATCCTCGACCGGACCGTGCACGTGTGTCTGTCGAGGGCCTCCAAGACGTTGAAATGCTCCGTGTGAGTCAGGACTGCGTCGCCCAACCTGTCAGTCATGCCTTTAAGTATTCCTCTCCGTGTGTATGTGTGTGCGTGTGTCTCTATAATCAGGCGCTTCTCATGCAACAAGTGTTGACTTCGGAGCTGAGGCGGCAGCTAACAGAGACACAAGACCACGGCAAGCATCGTGTCAAATGCACGAAAGAGGGGCCGCGTTTGTCTTCCAAGGGTCTTGCTCGGAAATGGCTATGGGCCATGGGCTGTAGGACTGTCAAACGTCGTGGTTCCTTGCACGTGGCTTGCAAGTCGAAATGCACACATAGACGAGCATCACTTTGCTGCGAGGCTTGGAATAATCCCAGATCGTCAGCACTCAAAAGATGCACGGGGACAGTGTCCGCGCCGTGCAAAGATGCATCGTGATCGCACGAACAGGGCGCAATCAGATCCGGTGCACGGCGCGCTGCGACCGGGGCCGGCTGAGAGCCAACACCTGTGTGTTTCGACTGGAATTTGCACTCTGCATTTTACTTTGCGGGGCCTCTGCGGGCAACAGGAGGATGTCAACCCGCACGTTTTCCTTCGGACATGATTGCCGTGGAGTCCCATGAACCGGACTATGCCATCCTGGTGCAGAACTGCTTCGACAAACAATTGAGGGCGAACGCTGCCGGCGCTTCTGTGAATTTCGCACATGTCGGGCTCTAGTGGTCTACTATGCTTTCTGACGACAGGAATAACCCGAATGGAAGACCATACTCTGCCTTAGGATTTGGGGTTTAAGGGTTAAGGGGTTTAGTTGTTCTTTCTCAGGACACGACTAGCGCGTTTAAGGGTTTCTGTTTACACCGGCTTTAATTTTAGACACCCTTTGGCTTCCGCTACACAAGCCTTTGTTGTTAGTAAGGGTCTCTGCTACACAGACTTTCCTGTAAAACAGGGTTTGTTGTTACAGAGGCTTTGCTGTTAGACACGCTTTACCGCTAGACCGGGAGGCTTTGCTTGTACACAAGGGTTCCCAGGAGGGCCTTTAGAGGGGTTTAGGGTTTAGGCAATTAGCTGGAACCCCTGACAGACCCAAAACCAAAACTAGGATGCCCAGTAACCTAGGAATGAAAAGAGGCTCCCTTTTCGGTATTGGGTAACTAGGACTACTAAAAGGGAATAAGGGTACTACTGGGCATCCTAAAACAACTCTACTTCGACCCCCTAAACCCTAAACCCTTAACCTGGTAGAGCCCGTATTCAACACGAGCCCGAGCCGAACCTGCGGAGCTTGTCTCTGTACCGGGCGGTTGCCATGGTGTCCTCGCAGTGCTGTCGGTTGGCAAGCTCTACAACTCTACCGAAAATTTTCGGTTTAGGGTTGAGGGCTACCCCGATGCTACCCTATATTGGTTTTGCAAGGTTTTGCAGGGTTTCATGAGCTTCTGTGCTTATAGGGGAAACTGTTCATAAAGCCCCTCAATTAGTTTCATTGTACACCCTGATATTGGAAAGTCTGAGTTTTGCAGCTTGCAGCTTGTAACTAAGCCGCTTAGCGTTCAGGGATTAGGGGTTTCAGGGCTGAGGGTTTAGGGGTAATTGGGTTCAGATGACTTTAAGTTTAGAGCTTGGAGTGTTCACAATATGCGGGTCTGGGCAATGCCTCTTCTGATCCCTATATAGTTCTGCAATCATATACGGCCCAAGTTCCAAGACTCCGGCCCGCTACTCCAAACTAGGAGATCCTCCTTGGTAGATCCCATCTTTCCAGGATTATCTAAAGGAGCGAAACGCCACTCCAAAGCCTTGAAGCGCACCCTCTGTCTCTGAACCTTCGGGTCCCAAACCCTATTCTGATTAAGGCTCCTCTATCATCGAACCGTATTACAGATCCTTTGTAGAAGCCCTTTAAAGGAATCCTTACTCTAATTATTAAGGCCCCTACTATATGATAGAACTTCATAGAACCCTTATAAATAGAGCCCCTTTAAAGGAACCCTAATTACTCTAATTCTTGAAGCCCCTAGACTAAATAGTATAGTATAGGTAATTGATTCGGGCTTCCTATCGTACGCGTCCCGTCCTGCAGCTTCCGCTCGAAGTCATCCATGGAAGCATCCCGCTGCTGCGCAGGTGGGTCGTTCGTTTGTTGATGTAGGGTAACCCTAAGCCCCTAAACCCTAAACCTCAAATCCCTAAACCTCTAAACCCTAAACCGCTGAACTCAAAACCCCAAACCTCAAAGTAGGGCGCTTGGGGTTCTGGGCTGAGGACGTAAGACTTCGTGTTTGAGCTTCAAATCAAAGGCTTGGGATGTTAGGGTAACGGTGCTGCAACCATCCCAAACCCTATAAACCCTTTTTCATCCAAACCATCCTAAACCTGAAGTTCGAACCTTGCACCCGAAACCCTGGAAACACACAAGTGAGAACTTATCGTCCCCAAAGCCCTGCGTTGTGAACTTCAAGGCTTCAACGCTGCACCGAAGCCCGTTTAGGGTTCAGGGTGTAGTGGTTCAGGGTTTAGGGCGTCTTAGGGTTCAGGGGGGTTCAGGGTGCTAAGGTTTGGAATTTAGTGGGGTTTAGCGCTCTACGGCTTAGGGCGTAGGGCTTGCGGGGGCTAGGGCTCCGGCCCTTTCAGGGGCAGGCGCAACGGCCAGCACTGAACCGGCAAAGGCAAACCTGCTCTCACGTCCTCTGCAAGGTAGTAGGGGCAGTCGGTGGTTCCAGTCTGCCTCAAATCGCATTCGGCCAAGGGTTGGCCGGTGGCCCTCCAGTGCCAGTCTGAGCAGCAGCATCCGGTGCCAGAGGCGGAGGAGTGCTGACCGTGGGGTCACGTGCCTCAGGTGCACCCACAGCAGACACAGAAGGAACAGCCACAGCAGGAGGATCGCCGCCAGCATCGACCACCTCAGAGGCAGCAGGCAACGAGGGAGCCGGCACAACAGGAGGATCCACGTCCCCATCCATGGAGTTCAGGTCGATGGAGGACACCGGGGAGCCTACCTCTCATGCTAAAGGCTCGAACGACTGAGCAGTCCCAGGGATACAGCTTCACGGCTCTGTTGGTGGGGCTGAGGGCTTGGCAACTCGAGAAGAGGGTTTCGAGCTGTAACAGCAGGGCCTTGATTAAGAAAGAGACTACTTAAATTGGGGCTTTAGGGGTACATTACACTACGCTTTAAAAGAATTCAGTAGCCCTAAGGAATAGTCCAGGCTTTACAGGCGAGAGGCTTTATGGGCTGCAATGAACCAATATGGGAGTCTCCGAAAACTCGGGGAACCTTATTTTGGGGTCCTTGTAATACGGATCCTACTATTTAGGGTACTATACTGGGGTCCCCTATTTTCGGAAACTCCCACGTCTTCAGGGCCGCGCCTCGCGATCGACCGTGACGACGGGCTTGCCGTCCTCGTCTCTCGTGCACTCCACGTGGAAGATCTGCTTGACCTGACGTATCTCACTGGCCCAAAACCCAAGGAAATTAAAAGTTGAAACTTTCAGGATCGACTACCTTAGAAGAACACCAAAAGTTGAAAAGTTGAGTTTACAGCCAATACGGTATTGCCCAGAACCACGACTCAGAACTCCAGGCAAGCATTGGCTGGAGTCAGTTTTCACAAGCCAACCCAGAGACCCAGCAGAGACTATTCAACTACTCAGCCCTTTTGCCAATTGTATTGCAGTGAAGCCGCCTGAATGAAATTGGGTGTTGGGTTGCTTTAGTGAAATTATGTTTTAGGTTGTACTACAACACTGTATGTACTTATAGTGTGTGTGTGTGTGTCTAGACACATCTCGATACATATGTATATGCACACAGAGCTATAGCTATACACATGTAAGGGACTATAAGGGTGACTCCGGTATGGGCTTGTGGCTGCTGGCAAACCTTGATGTCTGCAGCTGCAGTGAGCCTTAAAATAAGGGCCTCAATAACTAGCATATGGCTTTGGGGATATTATACTTTAATGTTAATCAGGAGCATCAGAAGACTACTATTATTGATAATTTTTAGGTAGATTAAGTCCCGACGCTGGGGATGAGAAGCTTTGCCCCCCTAAACAGGCTCACCTGCCCAACCCAACCGCACCACGAAGAGGTTTAGGGTTAGGGTTTTGGGGTTTAGGGTTAGGGCTTAGAGGTTTAGGGCTTAATATAAGAGCCTTAATGATAACTTATAACACTATTTTGGGGGGGTCCTTTTTTATCAAAGTATAATGGGCCCCAACACCCTAGTCCAATTATTAAGGCTCCTTTAAGGCCCCTATATTAGGGGTTTATGGGTTTTAGGGCTTAGGCCCCAACCCCAATCCAGGAGCTTGCAGGGAGTCGGGATCATTTCTGGTATTGACGACCTCAATTATCTCCTCTTGCAAGCCGGACCCGACATAAAACATAGCTTGTTTTTGCTATGTTTTACCCTGTCCCTCCAAGGACCTCATAGTTAGAGCCCTAGACCCCTTAAGGACCCCATAATACGGTCCCTGGAGGCATAGGGTATGTTTTAGGGGTTAAGCATACATACCTCGATCGAGGATGAACAAGGCGAGATCTAGACAACAGAAACAGACGATCGAACTCACGTTCATGGGCTTATGGGTTTATGTACACACCCACGCACGAGGGCAGATATTAGGTGTAAGTATCTGTTACCGGAAGGAACAAGTTTAGGTAGATTGGGGGGGCTTCCTCCCAAACTCAGCGAACAATACCATGTAGGCTGGACACCGCTCGGTCGGGATCGTAGGTCGCATTTGGCGGTGTCCTTGGGTCGTGAAGAATGGGTTTTGGGTTGCGGGCATTCGGAGGTTTCATTTTTGCAGGGTCGCATTCACGCCGAAACCTTCATAACCTCAAGCCCAAAGAACCTGACCGCAACGCGTGCAGAAGAAGAGGTTCCTCAAAAAGGGCCATTGGGAACCTGTTTGCTCATCTCACGGATGCCTTGGGGACAGGTATTTGGCACAGAACTACCAACACCCTAAACCCGAAAACAACTACTAAATGGCTCGAACTTCTATCCGAGGCTTTCGGCGACCAAAACTTCCGCTGCACACTGATACCGAAGCCCTGGTAACAGGGTTTAGGGTTCAGGGATTATAAAAAAGGGCTTAGCGGTTTAGGGCTCAGGGCGTGGTGTTAGAGTAGAATTTACGAGCTTCTTATCTGACATGGCTAAACAGACAGGAGGCTCTTGTGGCACCGTTTTTCGGTTCTACGTTGGCTTCGGGGTGTGTAGGGGTGAATCTGTGCAACTCATAAGATAGAACAGCTTCACAATCCAAACTGCCCGAAAAGGTCCCTGGACTCCAAACCCTATAATCCCATCAGGCCTTAATGATTAGAATAATTAGGGCTATGGGAGTATAATATACTATAAGTAAAATAGAGAGCCCTCCCCCAAAATAGTATAGGTGCTTGTCGAGACCGGTATATTCTCCCCTTTTCCAAAACCTGTAAACCCGAGAACGGAGCCCCGCCGCAAGTGTCGACCTCCAAAACCCCAAACTACGAACTCCAACTCGGCCGGAAGCTGTAGAGTCTGTAGAGCTCTACATGTTAGGGTTCGGTAGTGTCGGGTTTGGGGTTAAATGGGTTAAGCTTCCGGGGAACCACGCTCGAAACCCTAACACCATCTACTTCTTCTGTTCAGCCAAATAGCTGTGCTCGCGCGTCCCAGAGCTTGTCGCCACGGCCGACACGAAGGCAGGTCTCGCAGCCAAGCGCTTGGTTTTGATTTCAGGTTTAGGATAGTACTTTGGTCTTTCGAGTTTGACTTCAAGGGTGCAAGGTTAATAAATCAAAGGAATATATACCCTAAAACCCTAAACCCACAACATCCCAATACCCTGAACCCAAAACTTTCAGGGAGTATCAGTACAGCGGCTGGAGGGGTTTGTGCAGCTCCCGGCCTCAGAAGTCAGGTTGTGTTAGCAGGCTGCAACCACAAGCTCCTCAGGCAAAATCACCCGAACCATTGCTACATGTGGGACTTTCCGAAAATAGGGGATCCTCATCCAGTACCCTAAATAGTGGGATCCTTATGAAAAGGACCCCCAAATAAGGTACCCCGAATCTTCGGAAACTCCCATATCTTTATCATCACTACCTCCAAGCCCCTCCAAAATGCACCCTGCCAACAGTCTCCCCTAATTACACCGTAAGACCCCCAAGCCCTAAAGTTTCGAACCCTAGGAACCATGAACCCTAGACCCTACCCTACACCCTAAACTTTCGAACCCTATATTTATATAGCCTACCCTAAAACCCGAAACCCCAGAAACCCTAAACCGTAAAACCTAAACCCAACCGAAGCCCCAAACCCTAAACCCTAAACTCATAAACCCTATGAACCCAAGAAGCCCGAACCTAAATCCCAACCTACATGCCATGAACCCAAAAACCCGACACGAAGCCCCAAACTTTCGAACCCTATGAACCCAACAAGCCCCAGAATCCCCAACCACTAAACCCTAAACTCTGAAACCCTAAACCTCTAAGCTAAAGCCCTAAACCCTCAACCCCTAGACCCTAAAACCCTACACCCCAAAACCCTAAACCCCTAAGCACTACAAACCCAAGAAGCCCCAAAAAGCACCCCAGTCTGGCCTTGGGTTACTAGGGCATGGAGGAATGGGGTACAATTATAACTGCTATTACGACCTTTCCTCCAATTCCCTACTAACCAAAGGTAAGAAAAGCCACCCCATATTATAGTACCCTTATAGATCCCTTATAGTAACCCTTATAGACCCCCTTTTTAAGGCCCCTTTCATTCCCTACTAACCAAAGGTAAGAAACGCCCCCCCCCCCTTTCCCCCCCCCCCCCACCCGGACCGGCCTCATCACCCAAGGAGCTGCCGCCGGTCATCGGGGCGGGATCTTCCCTGGCTTTAAGGGTTTAAGGTTTAGAAGGGTTCAGGGTTCCTTTAAAGGGAACCTGGGTTCCTTTAAAGGGAAGTTAGGGTTCCTTTAAAGGGTACCTAGGGTTGTTTTCAGGGTTTAGGGTTTAGGGGTTTAGAGTTTAGGGTTAAGGGGGTCCAGGGGGTTGGGGTTCAGTGTTCGGGGGCTGAGGGCTAGAGGGGTTGGGGTTGGGGTTTAGGGTTAGGCTTTAGGGGTTTAAGGGGTTAGGGTTAGTTAGGGTGGGGTTTATAGGGTTAAGGGGGCTTAAGGTTGGGGTTAGGGGGTTCGGGTTGAGGCTTTAGGGCTTGGGGTTTCGGGGTTACGGGTTGAGGGTCTGGGTTTACCTAAAGTCCACATTGCAGTTCCGTTTGGAGTTGGCTTAGCCATTTCCGTAGTTAGGATCCGACATATAACCCGATAACCCCCTCGAGGAACTAGAATGCAAAGTCTGGGTTTCCGTGCGGATGAGCCTGCTCTGTGCCTTGCTATCTCGATCGGGACAAAGCACTCAACCCTAAACCCTAGAAAAAAATCAAACCCTAAACCAAAAACCCACAACCCCAAATCCTAATAACCCTAAACCCCAAACCCTAAAACCCTAAAACCCTAAACCCTAAAACCCTCTACCTTGGTTTGGGGACTTGGGGTCGAAGGGCTGAGGCTGAGGGTTTGGGGGTTAGGGGGCATGCAGGGTTTAGGGTTTAGGGTTTAGGGCTATGTTATCTGTTAGAAGTACTATACCCTATAGTCGTGATCATAGGAAGAATCGAAGGGATACTATGCCAGGTTTTTGGAGATGTTACATTCTATACTACAACTACTGTGAGAGGGCTTGGGTTTGTGCTCCGGGAGGTCCAAGTGGGGATAGATTGCTGCTCAGGTGTATCCAAAGCCGGTGCTAAGGGTTCCGTTCCCTAAACCCTAAACCCCAAATCTTAAACCAACAGGCCTATTTCATGGAAGCTCTGGGGACTGCAGCGATTTCTTGATGTTCGGCTTGAGCGAGTTCCCAAGATGCCACTTTCGAGGTGGCTCACGACCTCATCTGAGTTGATTGGCACGCAGGATTCCTCCGAGACATCAACGTCCTCAACCCTTAGGTTCTCGTAGCGGCCACGGTCGAAGAATGTCGACCTTGCGGATGCGCTCAAGGATTTGTTTCAGTAATGCTAAGTCTACCCACGCTGCCATCGCAAGTCGATAGAGATCCAGCCGCAAAAGCTCAATGCTATTGAGCCTTTCCTGACGGCTGGAATGCAAAGAATGTGCTAGGGTTCAGCCACATCATCGCATCCAGCACAGGCGCAGCTCGACGCTCTCCCGAAACAGCGGCCCAAAGAGTGGCTTGGTCTTGCAGACCCCTGCACGTAAGCCTTCGCCGCCCTCGTGGTCAACCTTTACAGTAGATACTTAAGCCATAAAGGGGTCCCTATATAGGTACTTTAAGGCCTAAGTATATGCTATATGGGTACATGGAGCCTTGGGGCTTGACATGGCGAAGCTCGCTGTCAAGCGCCGCCAGCGATCCAAGCTCCAGCCCATGAGAAGCCAAGACACTCTCCGTAAGCCCACCCCTGATCCTGAACACTACATAAACAGATTGGCTCTAATGTAGCCTTAATAATTAGAATAGGGTTTTGGGGCCCATTAAACTATAGTTATAGTATTGGTAATTATTTAGGCCCCTCTATCATAGAACCCTACTATAGATCCCCTGTAGACCCCTTTTAAGGAACCCTTTAAAGGCCCCTATACTAGGCTTTTGAAACCTAAACTTTGAACCTAAACTCTCGGCACTCGCCTGTCGATGATTCCGCGGCTTGCCGAGCCTCAGGCGGCACATTGGGAGTTAGGATTAGGGGGACCCTTGGGGAAATAGACCCTCTCAATAAGGCCCCGTTTAAGAGAGCCAGAAGTAGGGTTCAGAAGGGGTACCCTTTAAGGGGTCTCCCTAATAATACTACCTAAACATAGGACAGTGAGCCACAGTCGGCTAGTATGGGACCCTATAAAGTAAAAGCCAGAAAGTTGGAATATGATTATCCTAAACCCTTTATGGTAAATTCTAAGGTATCCTACCCTGAAACAATTTTCCAACTTTCTGGAGTTGCCTTTAGAATATAAAATCCCCAGAGAATTCCTTAAAGAGGCCCTGAGCTATCCGGCTTTCGCAGGGTGAGATGAAGACGACAGTAAGGATCAAGAGGGAAGTCGGAGTCAGAGTCAAAACACTAACTTTCAGCAACTCACACTCTCATCATGGCATGTAGTCAATTTTCCAGCGACAATGCAACGCCAAGCCCTGAGTCAACCTGGGAGCCCGAAGCCCTAGTCCCGAAACGCCAGAGGCCCCCCCTCCCCCAAAAAAAACATCGAACCCCAAAATTACACATTCATTGATGGATCTGAGCGCTAACCCATGGCCATAATTCCCAAGGCCTTAACCCTAAGCCCCCGCAATAGATCCCAAACCCTAACATCCCTGACCCCTAAACCCAACACGTCTTCAATCCTAAAACATTTGAGCACTGACGGTACCCTCAACCCTAAAAGTAGCAGTACTTTAGAGGCCGAATATCTACTAAGAGCCTACTATCATGGTACCTGGACCCTATGAGCTATAATCAAAGCCAATACAAAACCCAAAGCCCCAACGGTACCTTCAACCCCAGACCACTAAGCCCTAAACCCTAAACACTGAATTTTCACCCTAAACCGAGCCGTATAAACTCTAACGAAAGCCAACAAAGGCCGCGGCTGTGCCAGGATCTGATCTCCGACAGAAGGCCTTTCTTGTAGTGGTCCCACCTCCGGCGCGGAGTTCTTTCCGTCAAAGGGCTTTGGGGTTCAGGGTTTAGGGTTTAGGGGGGTTGGGGGTTTAGTGTTTAGGGCTTAAGGGGTTTAGTGTTCTGGGTCTCTAAAGGCAGGATGAAGGTAGGTGGGGTCATCCCAAATAAGAGTCCTTACATACGGGGTCCTTAATCCTACCCACCTTCATCCCACCTTTTGAGGCTTCCATTTCTGGGTTCCTAATTAAAGTTACGATGAGTAGAAGCGTTCAAAAAGGAAAGCTTCTATCAGCCATCTTAAACCCTTTTTAATCCCTAAACCCTCAATCCTCAACCCTAAACCCCAAGGGTCGGTCCTTTGTGCCTTCGAATTTGGGCAATCCAGAGGTCAGGGGCCCAAAGGCCTCTGCTTCAGGATGTGGTCTACCCACAGGCCCCATAGTAGTTCCGTTTTGGGGGTTCATATACAGTATAATTAAGGCAATCCCAAAAAGCCTATGGGTACAGCTGTTATTCAGGTCCTGTTGCGAACTTACTCTCAAACTCATGAGACCACCGATGCTGACACCCCAAACGACAAAATCCCATGAATAGAACGCTGAAACCCTTTTTGGAACCCTGCTAGAACCCTGGTAGAGTGTAGATTCTAGATGGATCCGAACCGAGCTGACAGTATCAAAAAACGGCTACGGGTTCAGGGCCTGCGGCGTCGGTTTAAAATTCTTTAGGCTGTAGACTAGCAGAATTTCGGTTCGTGGGAGTCCTCATTTACAGATTATAGGCCCTACAGTCCTGTAGGAAGGGGTACTTACTTGGACCCTGAGAGGAAGATGCCAGACTAAACCCTACGCCCGAAACCCCAATTAAACCCTACACCGACCCGCAACCCTAAACAACCCTAAACAACCCTGAACAACCCTAAACCCTAAACATCCCTAAACCCTAAACATTCCTAAACAACCCTAAACCCTGAACAACCCTAAACATCCCTAAACCCTAAACATCCCTGAACCCTAAACATCCCTAAACCCTAAACAACCTTAAACATCCCTAAAACCCTAAAGATCCCTGAACCCCTAAACAACCCTAAACCCTAAACATGCCTAAACCCTGAAAAACCCAAAAACTAACGGAGTCTGAGACCAAGGGAGCGCCTGTATTTCTGCACCAGCCGCCATATCAGCTGCGAGTCTGACAAGCGGGCCTGCCATTACAGACTGTATTATTCATAATGTAGAGATAATAGGACCTTTACAATAGCCTTATTACAGACTGTAATATTCATAATTAATACGGATATAGTAGGACCTCAATTATAGCCTTATTATGGACTGTAATATCTATTATATGGATATAGTAGGACCTTAATCATAGCCTTACTATAGACTGTAACATTCATAATTTGGATATAGTAGGACCTTAATAGTAGCCTTATTATAGACTGTATTGTTCATAATGTAGATATAGTAGGACCTCAAATAATAAATAGCCCCATTGCGGGTGTCTAGGAGACGGCGTAGGCTTGTAGGTTTATTGGGGTTTCAGGTGAGGGCCTCTATTTCTAGGAGCCTGGGATCTAGGAAAATGGCTGACTGCTTGGATGACAAGAGAAATCGCGAAGTAGGATTAGGGCATGCTGGTAGCTTGGAGAGGGAAGCACTTTATGGACAAGCTTGTCCGGATGGTCCAGTTGCAAAGATAGCAGGTTGCTGTCCCGTACCGATATCCGCAACTAGTGTGCTATATAGCTTTCAAACTCATTAGTAAACATAAGCCCTAGACCCCTGAAACCCCCCAAGCGGAACCCTTGTACAACCCTTATAACTGATTATGGGAACGTCACGATCCGTGAATTTGAACTCCGAAAACCCACCCCGACAACCCTACGCACTCACCCCCAAACCCTGGCGCGAAGCCAAGAGCCTTGTAGTTGCAGAAAAGCCGGTGCGTGATGGTCTTGTGGGCCCTGGTCAGGAAACCGGAACTGACTGCTGAGTTTGGGGCTTCGGGTTTCAAGTCTTTGGGGGTTTAAGGCTTCAGGCTTTCGGTTTCAAATTGTGTGGGTTCAAGTATAGAATAAGCATCGCGAGAGGAGCTCGACAGCTGCATGCACGAGCCGAAACAAGATAGCCTGAACCCACCACCCATCAACCCAAAACTCCTATAGCCTGGCTCCCTTAAATCCCCAGAACCACCGACCCTGCATGACAACCCGCCCTAGGTAAGTTCCGGTAGTTAAGTATTAGCTATAAGAATCTGTAACTTTTATCTGGGTGTAATGCCTATAACTATCAAAATTAAAGAGGCGCAAGTTCCTCCACCGGCGCATTCTTAAAGGAACCCCATAGACCCCTGAAAGGTCCCCTTATAAATCCTTCAAAGGAGCCCTAAACCCTAAAGCATTGCCTGATGAAGTCGAACTTGGAAATGGAGTAAATCTCTGCCAGCGGAGCTGAGATCACCTCAGAGCCCATGATCGGTCTATAGGGTCTCAGGGTCTTAGAGTTTAAGGCTTCAGGGTGTTAAAAGGGGTCTAGGGTTTAGGGGGTTTGGAGGGTTTTTTTGGGGGGGGTTGAGGGTTTAGGGGGGTCTAGGGTTTAGGTCTCCGTATCTCTATGTTTGCAGATACCCTTCCAGGGCAAAACTGGTGGAAACCTTCTTACCCCTATGGAACCCGATGAAACCCTTACAGGTACGTTTGTCTCTCTTCTTCAATAACCGGGCTCCAAGACTTCAAACAGTACATAAGACAAGCAAGTATAAAGTTCTACTTTATGGACATGGAATTTTCAACAACCCTCTTATTGAACATCTAAGGTATAGTCACCCCAAACCCTAAGCCCCCCAACCCTAAACCTTGATCCCTAAACCCTACCGCCGCAACTCGGACCCTGGCAGTGCATTGGTAAGTGAGGCCTTCCATCAACTCCATGACACCCACGGAGCTTCCTGGGTGTGGGTGCGGGGTTTAGGGGTTTAGGGCTTCGGGGGGGTTTAGGGTTGGAGAAGTTTTTCGGAGGGGTTGGGGGTTTAGGGGTTTGGAATTTGGGAGTTTTTTTGCTTTTGAGGGGTTGAGGGTCAAAGGGTTTAAGTTTAGGGCATAATAAGGTCTGATTCAGGGTTTAGGTCTTCGGATTTGGTTGTTGGCTTCACGGTCTGGTTGGGGTTCGGGTTGTAGGCTTGATGTAGGGTTATGGGCTGCAGGGAGGCGTTTAGCTTGTAGCGTTAAGGGTTCAACGATTTTCAGAAGGGGGAGGGGGGTAAGGGTAGCATCTAATTTAAGCTTCACAATTCAACGCTTTGGGAGTTAAGGGCTGTGGGACTTAAGACATTCAACATCTACACAGCTTGCTGAGATTAGGATTAGTGCTTGAAAATGGTTCACGAGACCACTTGTTTCTTTTTCGGACGTTGGACTGTCAGAAAATACAGGACCAGACCCACGTTTGTGGAGAACAACACCTCCCGGAACCATGCCTAATGCTTAATTTGCGGCACCCCGGCTTGAACCATTCGGTGCAGCCATCAGACGGCAGTGATTGGTTTATGGATGCCAGGACTTGGAAATAATGATACCTGGATTCCCGTGTGGCTTGAGGGTTGTGGTGCGATCTGTGATGGGAGTCAAGCGTTTATGGCTGTGGTCTCCTGGCATCTTGAGCATATCTGTGGGAGGAGTATGTGGGCGGGGAATGGCATCAATGCCCCGAAACGACACGTCTCATTCCTCCTTTTCAAACCCACTGCATGTCGAACGCCCCAAGCCGTAAACAGTTGGTGTCATAAACCCTAGACCCTAAACCCTACACCCTACACCCTAAACCCTGAACTCTACACCCTAAACCCTACACCCTAAACCGGGCCGTGATACCTTTGGAGATGATATCCACCACCACTTGCAAGCTCTGGCCGGCCGCAGGCCCACTGTCCTGCTTGGAATCGCTGTAGCTTGCAGTGTGAGTCCAAAGTCAGGGGCAGCCTCATAATGATAGTATACAGTTAGAGTATAGTTCTCATAATGATAGTATACAGTGATAGTATAGTCCACGTCGTCTTGTCTCGTCCAGTTTTGCAAGACATGAAGCTACGACGACGTTGCCACCGAAGGCGGCACCGACCGCAATCTTAGTTTGATGAGAGCTATGACGGCGAGGATGACGGCGCCACGGTTGATGACGACGGATTGACCTTCACCTTGGCCATGATGGTGCGAGCTCTGGAAGTTGTACTTGCCAATGCGGCGATGGGAATCAACCTTTTGATGACGGTACATCAAGACGAAGGTGCGCACAAATCATATAAGAACAGTGGCTATGAAGGCTGAAACGGCTGTGATAATCGCAACGATCATAATGATAATGATGGTGATGCCAGGCACAGTACGAGGATCCTTTGCATGGCCACCATATGTAGTAGTGCAAGGGGTTGAAAGTGAGACAGCGTACATGTATGCAGGTACCGAACATTGTTTCGCTAAGGGTCCAGCTATCTTAATGCCTTGATAGTAGGTTCCCTGCCATAACCAACTACTTGAGAGCTGTTGAGCATCCGAGCACGAAAAGGCCAGCACAGCCGCCGAATGCCAAAAGCATAGCTTCAGATACAGTATGTGACCATAACATAGGCCCCAGAAGAGTAGCATCCTCAGGAATACTTGACTTTCCGAAGCCCACTTCTAAAATCATTTATAGAGGCCCCTCGCACAAAGCTGAAAAGTGCTCCTACAATTTACAAAGGTTCCTCAAATGCGAAACCCCACAGCTCGAAATTCTGATGTGTTGGACCTCGCCTGCGGTGTCGGAGCCTCGGCAGAGGAGCTGCCTGGGCGGAGCTTTCTGATCGCTTGCTTCCTATCCGATATTGATACTGAAAAACAAAAGTTTCCGCTAAGGGTTTCAGCGTTCTTCGTATAGCTACTGTTTGTATGTTTTGTGTATGTATGTATGAATGTATGTATGTACGTCTGTATGTATCGTGACGTAAAGTGAAGTAATGTAATGTAATGCATGCATGTAATGTAATGTGTGTAATGTATGTGATGTATGTGGCGTGACGTGAAGTGAAGTGATGTGATGTGACGATGAGATAAGATGCGGTGTGATGTCTGCATGTATGCATGTATGCATGTATAAATGTATGGATGTATGTTTGCATGTATGTATGAATGTGTGAATGTATGTATGTAATGTAGGTATGTGAATAATGTATGTATGTATGTCTGGGCGTGGTAGGTATGTAATGTACATCATATGTATGTAATTCATGTAATGCATGTATGTATGCATGTACATCGATCCATCCATCCATCCATCCATCCATCCATGCATCCATCGATGCATACCTTACATTCCCTTGCATTGCATCGCCTTGCATTCCATTGCAATACATTGCACCGGACATCTATATATATATATATATATATATATATGTATATGTATATGTAAATGTAAATGTAAATGTGTATATATATATATATATATATATGTACATGTACACAGATATGTGTGTATATATATTTATATGTATGTATGTATATATATATATATATATATATAGGTGGTTAAGTATCAAAGCTAGACGGAGATATGTATATATATATATATACATATATATATATATAATGAAAAGGTCACTGTTTGCCGACTGGAAGCTCTTGCATAAACTCTCACGGCCCTGGATCCTAAACCCTAAATTCTGAAATACATCTACCTATCTATCTATCTCTCTCTATATTATTTATATATATATATATACACATACAATATATATATATATATATATATACAAGTACAAAAGTATATCCTCACTCCTGAACTTCTCTACTGCGCCCTCAGCTCCAATCCCCGCCCTTCCCCTCCCTCCCCGAGCAGCGGACTGTTGGTGTCCGTCCTGTGCCGGTTCAGGGTTTGGATGCTCACTGGCCCAAGACCCCAAGGAAAGACAAGTTGAAACTTTCAGAATCGACTACGTTATAAGAAACCCAAACGTTGAAAAGTTGAGTTTACAGCCAATAAGGATTGGGGTGCTATCGCCATACAGCAACAATCTACGTATAGTAGGGCTACTACTGGCTACCATTAGGGGCCGAATGTATCCATGTTACAAGCAGTATTCAGCTGTTACTGAGTGGGTGCAGTATCCAAGCTTTAGAGTTTACAGAAGGGTTTGGAGTTTAGGGCTAATCACTCCATGATCAGTATGTCAGCACACACGGACTATAGCACTCTTCTGGCCAGCCTGCTGGTGATTGTGATTAGGGTGATGATGACATTGAGAAGGAGGAACACGATGATAATGATGATGGTGCTGCTGCTGGCACGACATGGCACGAATATTGCTATGCTGCCTTTTACCACAGTGGTGAAGATTGTGTGTTTGTTTTCCACTAACCATGTGGGTTTGCTGCTGCGATGGCTGTTAACACTGACTAGTTCCTGCCGCAAGACGCCTTGATATGGACCGTGAGTAGTCTAAAGACATAGGAATACGAATTATCAGATCGTGAATAAACCAGTCAACATCGACCGACGGCATATTGTATGAGACACAAGGTCAACCTCATGACGATAACACCGATCGAAAAATGTCTTTTTATGCGGTTGGCCCGCATGCTGGGTAATTAGGCAGAACTTCAAGGGCAACTACTTTCACGCTAGATGCATGTAGCATCATGTAGCTTTGTGCTAAAGCCGTACATTCTCCTCAGCAGTTGCTTCCTCTGAGTCTGCCAAGCGCTTGCTTAGAAACGATCTTCCAACCCTTTGCGACTCACACCCAGAAACCCTACCCCTCTGCACCACACACTTTTTTGCCTAAGTGATTCAAGACGAGATGAAATGCCCCATCAAGAATCCATCTGATGCCCATGATGCACTGCCCAAGGTCAACTGTTACAAAGCCTCCAACCACGCGCATGAGACCAGAAATTCGCATCATACACCATGCAATTGACTCAAACTTGACATTCTCCGCCGTGCGGAAGGATTCTCTGCATTTCGCACTTTTTTTGGTGCTAACTTTTATCATTATCGCCCCCAACATCTCATTTGAAGATCCGCCCGGGTCGTGTAGTTGAGGCGTGCAACTGGGGTTTTGGGGTTTCGGGCTTATAACTTACAAATTATAAACCCTTATCCCCAAAGCCCAGAGACCCAAGACCCAAAGGGGCTGCCTGAAGCGGGGCCGCTTCTCCCCTGCTGGGCTGGTCTCCTCTGCCTCCTCGGTCTTTTCCTTAGGCTGGGTCTACTATACTGAACTTAGAACCCTAGCAAAAACTATAGTTTTCGCTGTTTCTTAGGGATTATAATAACCAAAAAATAAAAAATATTTCTATAAGTACCCCTAGGTTTAGGGTGTTTGGGGGATGAAAATGAATTCAAAAGCAGAACAACAACAGAAAAGCACGCGGCGACAAGCATGAAACACACTGCTGCAATAACAATGTTGCCACGATTGCCTCGAAGAACTCTACCATGCTGCCTGCTACTGAAGCAGGGTTTTGGGCGATCTCTTCGAGGTCATCCGCACAGCTAACTAATCATTTAGAAGCACGAACAACAGATACGAGGAAGCTGAATGCTAGCGATTGATTGGCGATGTCGTACCCTTATCTGCGGAACGTGAGGCACACGAGGCTGGGAAAGCTTATGGTGATGACGACGATGGTGATAAGATGGAGATGAGGATATTCATGTCGTGAATTCTGGTCATGATGCGGAGGGGAGGACGATGATACACACAACATACACACAACAGATGATAAACGCAACGCATGCTGCATGACCTGCTTGGAAACAGTCTCGGGTTTCTGGATAAACCCTAAACCCTAAACCGTCTTTGCGGCCCGGACACAACCAGGGGCATCACCTTCTTGAGCATCTGATGGCCCGCCAGGGACTTGATGCTGAAGGGTGCTTCAGCGTTGGCTGAACTGTCCTGCTTAACATAAGAATAGCAATATGAATAAACAGCACAATATACTCTACCGTCTATTTGCGTCAGAGCTATGGACGCGTTGTCGTGCAATATCCTGGTGGACGCCACTATGCGTCCACCTGTGAAAAGCTGCCGCCCTAAAAGGCGAAGCGTTCAATAAAGGAGAATTCAACATTGGCTTTGGGGTACGGTGTATTTTGCTTATATAGAACCCAAGGCATAATCTTGGTAAGTATTCCGGCTTCTGCATCAAGTAGATCATCATCCCACATGCCCAGGCCCGACTTGGCCGCATTTTTACACATCCTCAACATCGTCTTCGCAGTGGTCTTGTATAACCCATCATCGGCGTCGGCACCGTCGTAACGACAGATGTAGTTAAGAGCCCTATATAAACTGCTCTATCAAACCTCACATACATAACCTTACGCAAGTGCGCATGCTTGTGTATGTATGTATGTAGTGTATATATATATATATGTATATATATACACATTTTGTCCAATTGAAATTTTGGGTTTGTGGATACACAAAAAAATTTAAAAACAACATAAGCCACAGTCCTCCGACTTCTTTGGCCGCCTCTTCCGCTGATGCTGGTCGGGCCAGACCCCCTTCTGCCCCACGCGAAGGCCTTCCTCGGGGGTTTAGGATTTAATTAGGGCGAATATAACTGATTTTGGGTCTTCAGCAAGATCAGTCTGCACAAAATCAAAACTCCCAACAGCCTGTTCTGAGCAGCAAGGCCAAGAAGCCTCCCCCGCCGCGAAAGGGTTCGGCATGGGGTCGCCATAATGGGCGTAACCTGGCAGCAAACCTACAGTTCGGGCTTTAGGGTTTGGGGTTCTGGGTTCTGAGATTTCCAGATACTTCACTGCGGGCCTTAGTTGGAATAGGTTGCTACGAGTCTGGCATCTTACACTGTACTCATATGTACTCATATTCAGGAATCTTAAGCAGCGATGCTGCCGCGATTTCCGGAAACTCCAATGCTAAACCTTGAGCCCCCGCGGAAGAAAGCCGAGTCACGGCAGAACATCTCGGTACACCTGAAGCGCCGAAGCTTCCGGACGGCTGAAATAAAGAGGGACTTGAATAAATTTGATCTATGCTGCTTGAGTGCGGTGTATACTAATTCTAAGACATAGACATAGAACTATGGCTTTTGGCATGTAAGAGTTGAGAGTTTGATGTTGGTGGGTTTATGTCTTGGATTTTTGAAAGCATCCGGGAATATTCCAGCTTTCAGGAGTGGAACTGCGAACACCCTGGGCCTTGAACATCTATACACAACGAAGCCCGAAAAGGCCCTTGAACGCGTTCGAAACACTTCCTGGATAAGGTCCTCGTGGGGCCCTTGAAAAGAACATAGAAACTGGCCCAAAGGCCTACCTAGTTTGGCTTTCGGCTTCACGGCAGTAGAAAGCGGACGAGTCGGGGACTCTAGAGTCCTTCACGACAAGAATAGGGCTTTGGAGTATTCTCTACCATAGCCATAATCAGGACCTGAGGAATAGCAGCATAGCCCAGAATTAAGCATTCAGAACTTCTTTTTGGCAGCCCTCCAGCCCCGAAACACCTCCCAAGGGGAATACACAGCTGAGTTCAGTTTGCATGGGGGCTTACAGTATAAGTAGCATATCTGTAAGAATGGCAGTTCATTCAATAGCAGTGGCAACAAACCTAACAACACAAATAGCACCAATCGACAAGGACGCTCACTAACTTCCACTGCCGTTAACACAAGGAGCTTGGAGCCCTAGCCCCAAAGCCAGAACCATAAATAGACCGCCACCCCAACCCCCACCCAAACCCTCACCCGCGAACACCCTAACCTCAGGGTGGAGGGCTCAGGGTTCAGTGTGTTGGGGGGGTTTAGGATCATAGCGCAAGCACTGTGCTTACAGTGACTGTGAGCGTCAATCGGGGCGTTGAGGTTTCATCGGGCTTACACTGACTCATAATCACTTGGAAAGTCCCCCCGAAGCCAAAGCACTTGGGGTGAAGCTCAATCAAACCTAAGCCCTAAACCCGTCCCTAAACCCTAAACCCTAAGAACCTCCACCCCAAACACTCGGAGCCAGGGCACTTGGGGTGAAGCTGCCGTACTAACTTGCAGAAGCCGCTCTTCACGAAGATGACCCGGTCCACCTGCAAATGATGAACCTACTGTATGGGCCTTAATACGTAGAATAGAGGTTGGGGCCCCTTTATAGTATAACTTCATAAATAACCCTACGGAATAATATAGGTAATTATTTGAGGCTTCTATATTACGGAGTTTGAAGGTTCCAGGCTTTCGGGTTTAAGTTTGCCGTCATTTACAACAGCTTACAACAGTGAGGGCTTTGGGCCATGGAGTTTAGGGCTTTGGACTGAAGCTCGACGCAAGAATGTCCCTGAATGATTTCGCAGTTTCTTCATACATACATCTGAGTCATCTCCATATCAGCCCCAATCCTTCACTTCCTCGTAAGCCTTCAGCCGAAGGCCTCAGCGCCCTGTTGAAGGATCTCGTGCTCACCGACGTAGCTTTTTTCCGTCAGGTTGCCGGCCATGGCCTGCTACGACTGCAGTGCTTTGCGTTGAGGTTTTAGGGTTTTCTAGCGCTGAGGCTCATGAACCACAGCAACGACGACGACTACTAATAATGATAGTGATGTTGTAATACTTCAACTAACTAAATATGAATAAGAAGAATAACACTACATAGTCATACTCCTGCTGCTGCTGCTGCTGCTGCAGCAACAAAAACTAAAACTACTACTACTGATACTACTACTACTACTACTACTACTACGACGACGACTACTACCACCACCGTTACAGTACGACGAACCACTACTAAGTACTCCGTACTACTGCGTACTACGACTACCTATACGACTGCTACGACGACTGGCGACTGCTACAGCTACTGCTACAACTGCAACTGCTACTGTTACTCCTGTTGCTGCTGCTGTGGCTTAGGGCCATGGGCTTGTGAAGTTGGGTTTCGGGTGTACCCTAGCCTTAAACTTACGTTTCCCGGACCTGAAACTTTGGCGTGAATTTTGATAGAAGGATCCCTCTTGTCTGGCCCTGAGGATAACCTGAACTCGAAACCTCGACCCTGTAGAACCCCTAGAGCAACCTCGGTAGAACCAGGGTCCCTTGAACCTAAAGCCTAGACCCCACGCCGAACCCTCCTCCCCAAACCTGACTGATATCTTCAATCAGCCTTTGGGCCAAAGACTATAATGAATATAAACAGACCCTTAAGGATCTATTGCAACCCACAAATTCAACACCTCGCAACACAATGCCTCGACAGAGAAAAGCGAAAGCATACCCAGCAATCCCAAATCCTAAATCCTGATCCCTAAGCCTTAAACTAAACTCTCGACTCCCAGGGAACATCCTCAACGAAGTTGCACCAAGATCTCAGCCTGCAAATCCACGTAAGACATGTCCTCGAGGAGACCCTCCTGAACTACAGGGCCACAGGAAGGTTTGGGTTTTGGAGTTTAGGGGTTTAGGGTTAGGGTGTAGGGCTTTAGGTTTTCGGGTTTAGGGGTTAAGGGGTTGGGGGTTGAATAGGGTTTTGGGCTAAGGTCTTCGGGGTTAATATTTAGCGTTCAGGGCTTTAGCGGTTTGTAGAATAGGATTTTGGGCTTGGGGCTTTAAGGATAGGTCTTAGTGTTTAGGGCTTTGAGGGGTTGGGGGTTGAATAGGGTTTTGGGCTCGGGGCGTTAGGGTTAGGTTTTAGTGTTTAGGGCTTCAAGGGATCAGGGGTTGAATAGGGTTTTGGGCTTAGGGCTTTAGTGTTAGGTTTCAGCGTTTAGTTTAGGAGTTGAGGAGGGTTTAGGCCTTAGAGCTTTACGGTTTAGAGACAAGGGGCTTCGGGTTTAGTGCTTAGGGGTTAGTTGCGGTCGCAACGGTCAGCCCAGCCCCTGAGACCCTTTAGGCTTCAGTTTTGGTCTGTTTGGGGTCTTTTAGGTTACAAGGTTGTATAAAAGTTAATTACTTATAAGGGTTTAGGGCTGAGGGTCTATTTATTAAGGTTACGATGAGGGTTCTTCTATAGGGGTTGCTATACGGGATACTACAAGGGCCTTGACCAGCTCCACCCGGACCCCGAAGCTCATGGATTCATTGGCCCTTGTCGGGGGGGGGGGGGGCGTACCTTTAAGCATAAATGGGCCATTGCGAAAGTATGGGACCCTACATCTTAACAACCCTGTATGAGAAATGAATCATACACCTTTTCCGGAGGTCCCTAGCGCGCTGGTAGGGTTTAGTGCCTCAGCAGGCCCGAAGGGCTGTTGTGCTCAACATACGTTGAAATCGAGCCAAGGCCCTTCGGGCCCAAGCCTTCTCAAGGTTAGGGCTCAGGGCGAAGGTTTGGGGTTGAAAGCGGTTTTGCTAATGGTTTAACATTTAGGCTTCTGGGTTTTGGGTTGAGGGTTTAGAGTTGGCTTTGGGGTTGTCACCAACAGAGAATCCCTAATCCGCAGCCATGAAGCCTTATCGCCCAGCCTCTCAGCGGGTCCTACCTAAACCCCCCAAAGTAGGTAGAATAATGGCCCAAAACCTATAAAAGGCTATTATTCTACATATTTTTGGGTTCCAGGTACACTTGGTCCCGAAGCCAAACTGCAAACCCAAAACCCTACGCCTCCACGCAGCGGAGGAAGGCAGCTCGCTCCCTTACACCACTCCTGAGTTCAGACTTGCCGAAAGTCTCCATTGTAGTTCCTCTTTTTGGTTATCCAACTTTATGGTTAGGATCCTATAATAGTGTTTTTGGTTAGCCAAAAAAAGGAACTACAATGGAGACTATAGGTGGGATTCTTTCTATGGCTTCAGATTTTGGTTAGGCTTAAGTCTTCTTGTAGTCTCTAGGCATTAGGGAATCCGTGCGAACATCGGCTAGGGATGCTGACCACTGTTCAACCTCTGCAGACTCTACAGCTCAGGCTGTGTGGATATTGACCTCGACTTCCCCACTCCGGACAAGTCAAGCTGAGAACCCAATCCTCTGAATGCCAAGACCTGACCACTGAACAAACCCAACATCATCTGAAGCCTTTTGTTTGGCCTGTAACCGTGAATGCAGGGGTTCAGGGGTCTATGCAAGTACTCGCCTGCAGTGACTACTTGCAAAAAATAACCCTAAAGACCTTCATCTAAACCGCCCCGCTTTGGAAACTTTGTAGAACCCTTGTACTACCCTTTTGGCACCATCTATAGGACCCCTTTTGAAACCGTTGTAGAACCCTTTTAAGAAGACTTGCAGTAACCCCTCAAGCAGCCCTGACCCATTCTGAGGCATTGAAGCTCACTTTACACCCAAGCTTCTCCTGGGACACGCCGACAGTCCTGGGCAGCAAGGAAGCTATGAGGGATCCCCCCCAAAGGCTATTTGTATTAATAGGGTACGATAAGGATTACAGTGATACTGTAGACAATACGGTTTTAATTCCTAGAAGGGGTCTAAATTATAGAGTTTAGAGCTAGGGCTTGCGGGTTTCGGATGTTGGGCTCGGCGAAACGCAAGATTTTGCAACATCAAGCCCGAAGGGCTCAAGCAATGGATAGCATATACTTTTGAGGCCAACATACCTCCGAAAGTGCTACTTGGGCCCTTTGGGAAAACCCTCAACACATGAAACGCCAAAGCCCAACGCTGCTTGGTTTGGAATTTCGCACTCTGGGAGCCCCTATAATAAAACAGCATGACTAATCTGGGTCCCAATCGTCTATTTCATGTTCCGTACTTGAGAACTATAAAATGCTGAACCCCGAGCTCTCCACCTTGAGCTATACGGTTGATGATATAAATCCTGCATTACCCATAATAAGGAATAGACCATAATTCCCATAGTTTAGGGACCTTAAGGTAATGCAGGATTTATATCATCAACCGTAGCACCCTGCGGCCCACGACAAGGACAGGATGATCAACATGCCCGATGGGACCACATCCCTAGACTCTTTAACCCCTCTACCCACACCCTAAACCCTTAAGCCCTAAATCCCTAAACCGCTATACCCACACCCTAAACCCTGAAGCCCTAAATCCCTGGACTCACTAGCCGATGAGAAAGATGGGAGTTGCTCTACACCGAAAGCCCAAGGAACTAAAGCCACTGAGTCTTCTAACAGCCTGAACCCAAAAAACCTCAACCCCAAGGAGAGCCTCCAGTGAACCCCTACTTGGAGGTTCATGGGTAGTTATCAGTCGGCCTGGGCTATAAGTAGGGTAACCATAATTAGAGGCAATATTAGGGGTCTTATAACCCTACTTACCCAAAGGCTCCATGTACCTTTACAGTAGATACTGAAGCCTTAAGGAGGTCCGTGTATAGGTACTTTAAGGCCTAAGTATATACTATATGGGTTATACCCATGATCCTCCAAGTAAATCCTGAATCCTCTAGCCAGGCGGCTGAAAGTCGTGGCGATGAAGCGAGAGCAGTTCGGAGTGCTTCAGGGCGGTACACCGTCCCTTCCTTTTGGGGGCTTAGGTTGGATACTGTCCCTACCCTGTAAACCCTGTAACAATCTATCAAAATAAGCATTATCCAACTGTTACGGGGGGGCTGAATCCAAGGTTTAGGGCTTTAGGGTTTCAGGATTGAAATATGCCCCGCCTTTTCGTCTTGGGCTTTCAGGCTTTCAGGGCTTAAGGTCTTGAGCTTTTCCTCCTTCTTTCAGCACCGAGCTCGCAAGGTTAACAAAAACCTGAAGCAAGGGCCTTAGTTAGCCCGGGAAGTGGGGGCCGGGTTCGTCATGAAAATCCTAAACTAGGCCGGGGCCTTAGTAAGCCCTACCTAAACCCCCAACAGTAGGTAAAATAATCGCCCAAAACCTATAAAAGGCCGTCATTCTACATACTTTTGGGGTCCAGGTAACCTCTAAAATGAACTCCAGTACGACCGGCCGGGAGAGCCGCGCGGGCAACTCTAGAGGACTGGCGCGAAACTTCAACACTAAACGACCCGGAGCCCTGCACCTTCAACCCTGGAAAAGTTAGCCTAAGCTGTGAAACTCTGAACACTGAAAAACCTGAAGAGGGCAGAGGGCAAACCCTGAAACCCTAAACACCATGCTGGCATCGGTCGGTCCTCTTGCAATCCTCGCTCATCAGCGCGATCTCACCAAACACCTGTGCAAAGAGATCAGCTGTGTTCATGTACTTTCGTTTTTGTGAATGTGTCTGTGCCTTCGCATATTATCTCTAGATCTGCGAAAGCAAACAGTCAGGTCCGTACTCTTGTGCGTCTTTGTGCATAAAGGGATACGGCTACATCCATACAGCCACACATCAATACATATATACATACATACATCCATACATACATACGCACATGCCACCAGCCCACCCTTCCGGCCACCCCTTCTTCAGCACCTTCCAAAAACCCTTGCGCTGCAAGCCTGTCGCAGTGATGTCTCCACTGAACTCAAAGCCCTCTCGCCGACATATTTAGGCCTTAGGGTTCATTGTGCGCATATATAGGTCATCGGCGCATTACAGTAGAAGCCGAAAAGTTGGAAACCCCATAGCCTCAATCCTTAAGAGTCATGTATAGGGAATCCCAGCACTATTTGGCCTTAACACGGTTTCCAACTTTATGGAGTTTACTGTATGTAAGACTACGCACCATCGCACGAAGTTTCTGTATACGTCTACGTACAGTGCTGCCAAGTGTAGCCAAGCACAGGCAATGGTACGTCCTACTATATCAATATAATGCCTACAAATGTGCATAAGCGAAACGAGGAGTACTCATTTCTTTCTCAAGAACTTTGTAATTACAAATGTGCACGAGCAACACTAGGAGTACTCATTTCTGTCTCAAGAATTGTGTAGTGGCAGTGTTTGGTTTTGCAACAGCAACGCAGGCTAATTTGCAATTGAAGTGCGCTAAGAACCCTAGCAATGATCCTGTAACACGCATCACACCTAAACCCTAAACCCAAAACCCCCAAAGCCTATACCCTAAACCCTATACTAAACCCTAAACCCTAAACCCCTGAACCCCATACCGAGAACCCCAAACCCCCAAACCCTGAACCCTATACCCTCAAACCCTAACCCCTATACCCTAAACCCTGAACCCCGGCCTTTCCAGGCTCCAGCCTCATCGGTTTCGCCTCAGAGGGTCGAGCAGGGTCGGGCACACGGCCACGGAAGAAACATCATCTGAAGAGTTTTAGGGCTTTGGGGTTTAAGGTTTTGGGGTTCAGAACATCGAAAGAGTTTTAGGGCTTTAGGGTTCAAGGTTTAGGGCTTAGAACATCATCTTAAGAGCTTTAGGGTTTTCGGGTTTAGGGTTTAGAACATCATCTTAGGGTTTTTTAGGGCTCTAGGGTTTAGGGCATCATCTTAAGGGGTGTTTAGGGCTTTTAGGGTTTCAGCATCTTCACCATCATCATCGTCGTCATCAACATTACAGTCATCGACATCGAAATGCTAATACGTATCATTGATCATTACAAATAGCAATAACCATCACCATTACCATCACCCTCATCATCGTCAACATCACCATCCTCATCATCACCATCACCATCATCACCACCACCAGCATCACCATCAGCATCGAACATCATGACCATGCCCTTGTTTTCATCGCCCTTGCGAGCATGATGACCTGAAGGGGTACTGCATGCCTCATGACTTCATCATCTGACTGCAGTTCTTGCCAGAAGAAGCTGCGCATAGGCTCTTACCTACCCGAAGAATTGAATGGGATCCAGCGGAATCCGTGCTGTTCGATCTATATCGTTCGTCCTTCAGCATGGGGTCCTCCGCACATCAACAAAGCCTCAGCCTGCAAAGGATGTAGGGTTTGGCATTCAAGTGAGGCTTTAAGGGTTAGCTGTCGGCGGCCGCTTGGTTTTGAAGCTCAAGGCTTGGCCTCAGGCATGTTCAACGTTGACGGTTCTGATGCCTAGCTTGAGGTTTTCTGGTTGAGGACATGCCGACCGGAAGTCGACACACTAATGAGATTGAAGCTTCGATTCTGTTCTTCCGCAGCAGAGGCCCCTCCTTTTTGAATGCGCAATCGAGCGGAGCAAAGTCTGGAACTGTTGACTGGGGTTGGGCGCCTCATTGACACATGGGGTCGAAGCACCCTTGCTCCCCAGTACAACAACAACTACCCTAAGGCATATATAGAATCCTATAGGGTAACTCCAACAAGGAACTACTTTGGGGCCCCTGGGTAGTGCACCCATACTGCATAAAGACGACTTCGAAGTAGTTGTTTACTACTGCTACTTCTACCTCTCAGATTCGTCACATCAGTACTTCTACCAGTGCTCGTCTTACTAAGCTGCTGCTTCTATACTACCACCATGTACTACGACGGCCGCGCTGCTGATTGAGCACCTAGCACGAAACATCACAGGCGAGCGTGCTTATGAACAGTCAGCGCGATTTAGGGTCTAGGCTGTTTGATGAAAAGGCTAAGCCCTAAAACCTAAATCGTATTCACCTTAAGGTTACCTAGAGGCTGCATAGTAGTTCCTTTTTTGGGTTCATATTTTGGAATCCTATAGGGTAATCCCAAAAAGGAACTACTATGGAGCCTATGGGTAATACCTTCCTAGCTACGAATTTTGCAGGCCTTGAGCGCTCTTCGCGCGAGGCCTGCAAGCGAAACGAGGAGCCGCGCGCTCTCAGGCTTGATCGACAGAGACCTGCTCTGTTTAGGGCTTAGGGAGTTTAGGTAGGGTTTAGGGTTTAGGGCTTAGGGAGTTTAGGGTTTGGGGGTCCAGGGAAAAGACAAGGACTTGTCACATTGGGGTTTTCAATACAGCCATCCTTGCTGCGTGCGTCACAGGGTTGATGACAGCAGCAATGAGAGTTTCAATGGCACGGGCTCTCGTTACGAACATAATTTGAAGTTGCCTTACAGGGATAATGGACCATGATAAGGTGCCTTATCATGGCAGCTGAGGCTGAGGTCTATGTTCGTTGGGACCGTGGAAAAACTCTCACGACATCAATCCCTGCAGCAGCAGCAGAAATACGGAGGTCATTTGCAAGTCAGTTAACTTTCACTGCTCAGCAGGAATCGCAGAAAGTCGGACAACCCTGCAACCTAAACACCTAAACTCTCAAACCGAAACCCTAAACTAAACCCTAAAACCCCAAATCCTAAACCCCTAAGGCCCTATAGAACCCTAAAAGCGCAAAACCCCCTAAACCCCAAACCGTCCTAAGACCCTAAATTCTCGCCTTGCCTCGGCTTCCTCCAAACTCGCGGCGAGGCATCCCAGCGCACCCAAGAAGTCCGCGTGGCGGAGGAAAAGAGCTGGTCCACAATCCAGATTCCTAGGGTTTCAGGCTCATTGCAGGCCTCAAAAGGCAGGATGAAGGTGGAGAGCACTGTCTAAACCCAAAACCCTAAAGGCCCCCGAAACCTAAACCCTTAAAGCCTCATGCCCAAAGTCCAAGACTGAAATCCCTACACTACCTGCAGAAACCCTTTATCTAGAACCCCTTTTCGGACTGCTTCTAGTGGGCTTTAGGAACTGTACCTTGAAGCCTTTCGCAGGGTTTAGGGTTTTGGGTAGTTAACTGAAACCCGAAACCATAGAGTCACACAAGACTGGACGACACTTCTCGAGATTCTGGATCCTAATCCTAAAAGCACTGCAGACGTACAGGTCTTGAACCAAGCTGAACCAAGAACTAACAAGCCAAAAGGATAGAGCCCTTATAACTCTATCTACAGAAAACACAACAACAGCTGCTGTTTCAAAGGCCACACGACACCCGAAACTCAAAGCCCAAAAACCATTACCCTAAACCCCAAAACCCCTACACCCTAAGCCCTAAACCCTGCACCCTAAGCCCCTCACACGAAATCCTAAACCGGACCCCAAAACCCTACCCCCATACATCCCTTGCAGATCCCTTAAACAAAAACCCCTAGGGTTCCTTTAAAGGCCTAAAAACCCCTAACACCGTAAACCCTTTATAGAACCCTTATAGATCCCTTTAAAGGAACCCTACAACCCTAAAACCTAACCCCTAGGTCTCCTTTAAAGGACCCCCCCCAAAAAAAAAGAGAAACAGCAGGGCGAGGCTCCGAAACGATCTGGAGATGATCTCCCAGGCTTTTGGATTGTCGGCCAGGAAACCTGGGGTGGGGTTTCAGTTTCGGGTTAAGGGTATTGAGGGGTTTAGGGTTTAGGGGCTTCAGTTTAGGAGTTTAGGGGTCTGGGTATTTTCCTATTTTAGGGTTTAGGGTTAGGGTTTAGGGTGTTTAGGGGTTAGGAGTTTAAGATTTAGGGCATTCAGGGGTTTAGGGCTTAGGGTATTTAGGGGTTTAAGGTATTTGGGGGTTTAGGGTTTCGGGACTTTGGAGTTTTTGGGTTTAGGGGCTAAGGGCTTTGAGGTTTAGAGGTTTAGGGGTTAGGATTTAATAGATATTTGGGCCACCCTTTTGGATTGTCGCCGGAGAAACCTCAAATAACGGTTTTAGGGCTATAGGTTTGTAGGCTTAGGGGTTCAGGGTTTAAAGCTCAGAGAATTTCGTGGCGAGAGGGCTTCGGGTTAAGGACTGTAGTGTTTTGGAATTGGGCTTTAGGGCGTGAGGATCTCACGAGGTTTTGGAGTTAGTCAGTGCTCAGGGTCTTCAAGGTAGCCACGAGCATGTACGGGTTCGCGGCCTCCTGTGTAGGTATGGTATGAGGCGGAAGCAGGGGTATCTTCAAGCAAATGTTAGTTGAGGGTTTCTGGTACGTTTGGCATCGAGGATTGCACTTCGGGGTTTGGCTGGCTTAGCTCTCACCCCTGTTTACGGGTCATCCCTGTTAGCAGACTCCGAAAGTTGTACTTGTTGCAACCCGCGTACACAACGAATCCCATCATACTAAGTACGACAGCACACGGTGAAAAACCGAAATGTCGAACTGAGTAGTTGCCATTGGCTAACGTTGGGCAAAAAAACACGGTAAGCCGCCTGATTAGACCCCGGAAAAGTCACATGCTAAGTCCTTGGAGTGAACACAACCATGAACTTTAACGGGTTTCGGGTTTAGGGGCACCCGAAACCCTCAAACTCTAAAAATTCACCCTATGCCTCTAGAAACCTTTTTGTGGGGTCCTTAAGGGGTCTAGGACCCTAACTATGAGGTCCTTGGAGGGATAGGGTCAGTACGGGAAGCACCCGGAACTGGGCTGATCCAAGGCGCCGCCAACGAAGAAGACGGGGGTTTTGCGCTCGCCAGGATATGGCATCGCACCGATATTCTGGGCCTGGCTTATCTAGGGCTCCTATAAACTGGGCTTTAAGTAGCCAAGGAGAAAAAAGTAATTATAAACTTGTATTTCATAATGGTTCCTTTAAGCAAAAAGGTATTAAAGTATGGTACTCCAAAGCCCAGCAAAGGCTTCATTACGGGCTCCTTGCACAGTTCCTTTAAGGCTTTACCACTGGGTACTGAAAGGGTTCTACACGGCTAGTGCAAACGTCCTGGAAGAGTTGTGCAGGTTTTCACAATGGCATGAACGGGTTCAATTCAAAGCTCCCACTAACACACTGGGTCTACGGGTATAGGACAATAGGAATGCGTACCGTATGTCAGCTAGTATTGGTTGGAAGTATATATGCAAAGTAGGTATGCAGACACGTGTTAAGGATTTTCGGATGCTTAGTGGGCTTCATGAGGATTCAGGGTTCGAGCCAGCTGCAGGGCTACAGCAACTGGATCGAACTGGAGCTTCCGGGATACCAGTAAGGGACGGTCGGCACTGTTGGCAGCCACATGACGAACAATGCTTGTCGACAGCACCCCAGATAGAAGAAGCACGCAGGCAGTAGGCAAAGAATCCCATGTCTGTTCGCTTGACAGTCCCCGTAAATCCGGTTTAAGGCTAAGGGTTTTACCAAACCCGTAAATCCTCCACCCGGTGAGAATCAGGACCCCAGCGAGCCCCAAAATAGTCGGTAGACCCAATAAGTAATCTGAGCACCAGAGCATCGATAGCAACCTTAAACTTACTAAACACCATAAACTCGAAACCCTAAACCACTAGCCCTAAGCTCTGAGCCCTAAAAACCCCCTAAACCCTAGCTGCGCGTGTGTGTTCCTTTAACAATAAACCCTACCCTCCAAGGACCTCATAGTTAGGGCCC